GGGGCTAGGACCTGTAGCCAGCTATGGCAGCAGCTGGGAAGGAAGTGGTCAGCAGGTGCTTCAGCTTCATGGTGGCCCAGAGCAGGAAGAGTGTGTCCCCCAGCTCCTCTGAGGGCTGTGCAGGTGGCAGACACACGGTAAGAAGACTCCGCTCCACGCAGCACTTAGAGCTGCCAGAGTGCTCAGCGTGGTGTTCACTCCTGACACAGGCCCACCGTTTGGGGTACTAGGAGCCCTTGCCCCCAGGGGCCATGCACACCCAGCCCTCAGCCCCCGTCCCCGAGAGCACCTGTGGTGAGCGTGCGCCACTCTCTGCCAAACCCTCAGCCACCCCGTCAGTGGAGCAGCTCCCAGGGAGGCCCTGTGCCCACAGCTTGCCTGCGCCCCCCTGGGCACTCTGAGGACTGCAGCACCCAGCCTGCTACTCCGGAGCTTCCTCTTCTGCCCTGAAAGTGCCAGCATGGTGTGCAGAGCTGGTGCCTGGCCGTGCTTTCCTCGTACTTCTGGGCTGTGGGAGGAAACCATTTCCCTGCTGGGGGGCTTCCTCTGGCCTCACCCCTCGTCTCTCTGAAGAGAAAAGGAAGCCACGGGTGCCCACACTTGCCGCTGCAGAATTCAGCAGGTTCCCCCTCACCCACAAAGCCTGAGGGAGCTGCAGGTGCCCGGAGAAGCTCTGAGGCAGCCCGGGGCCAGGGCCAGGAGAGGCCTCAGCATCTGTCCTCTGACTGTCTCCCGAGCACCTCAAGCCTCCCGTCCCCAGCAGCACCTCTGCCAGGCCTCTGGCCCCTGCCCTGCCCCTGGCATGTTCCCTACCCCCTCTCTTGCAGTCCACCCTGGAATCTCCGGGCTGGCGAGACTTCCCAGACGGACAGTGGCAGAGACCACTGTCCAAATGCTCTTTTGTGCCCTTTTCCTGGCAGTGGCAGGGCAGAGGGTGGTGGTGGCCTTCTGGTGGTGGCAGGGTCACTCCCCTGGGAGTCCCAGGCTTCTTGCCTATCCTGATGCTGAGCCGTGGACTGTGCATGTGGACGGTGGGTGCCCAGAGGAGCGTGGGTAGAAGGAACCCAGAGAAAGGAAAGGAAGAGTCAATGTCACTCACCTCTCTCCTTCACTCCCTCCACGGGGTGGGAGCCCAGGGGACCAACGGAAGGGAGTGGCCCTGCCTGATGGCCTCCTTGTCAGCTGGCCCAGCCACCATGCCCCTCCCTGCCAGCAGCAAGGCTCTTGTGGTGGCTGTCCCAGCGGGAGGCTCCCGGCCGGCCACCCACAGGTGGAAACAACTACCCACGCCTGGCCCAGGTAGGAGGAGAAGGGTGGGATGCTGCCCTCGATGCCCTTGTTGCCCAGGTGATGCTCTCAGCCTTGCTCGGTCTCTTTGTCACCAGCTGTTGGTGTCTCAGATCAGCCTCGGGTGCTTTTGCTCCATTCAAGATGGAAATTGCCAAGGGGCAGCAGTACCCTCTGAGGGAGGCTTGGCTGGGGCTTTGGCTGGGCCGTCGGAGACAGTGAGCAGGTGAGGGTTCTGGACAGTGCTCCCAGGAAGCCAAGGGGGAGCTGGCCCAAGCTGACCCATGACTGCTGCAGTGATTGTGCAGGGCTCAAGACTGTGGCCCGGGTCTTCTGCTCTGGGCACTGGGATGGTGCATGGTGCGGGGCACTCATGGGCCCTGGGTGGGCTTGTGCTCACCTGGGGGGTGCTGCCTGAGGGCCTCACACAGCAGGCCCAGCTGAGAATCTGCACACTTAGAGGCTGCAGGAAAGTCCCTTTGTAAGCTCTGAAGAAAGCAGTGGCATAAATAGGGCTATCTTAAGGTGCACATCCTGCCAAAACCTGCCTCCCACCCAAGACATCACAGACTCGGCAGGACCTCAGCCTTCTTGCCCCATCTCATCTTGGCTGCCCAAGGCTTCGACTTCATTAACACCCTCAGTTCTGGGAGCTGCTACTTCCTGAGCATCTGATGTGACCTGACCTCTGTGCCTGCATGTGTCTTTCACCTGCAGATTGGAGATCAAGCCACGGAGGAGACATCACTTGCATCAGAGCTGATGGTGCCAACAGTAAGTGACACTTTCACTTGACCCTTCTTTCAACCTGTAGTGGGGCTGTATGGGGGTCGAGAGGGACACATGTAGACTGCAGTGAGACTTTCCAGTGAGCACTGGGCATGAGGAGCAGATTGCCTAGACCACCTGACAGAGACCCGCCTGGAGGACTCACCCCCAGGACTCTCACCTCAGGTGAGAGCACTTGGGAATAGGTGGGCAACAGCAGCAGTTGACCTGCAAGGAAGGATACCAGGTTCACTTCGCTCAGAATCGAGGTGGTGGTGGGAGCTCAGATTAGCAGCTCAGGGGTGTGCAGGCTTTTATCAGGGAGAAAAGGTCTTTCCTGGAAATCTTCAAGATGCTACCTGTGTCTCATGGCCACCATAGTCACGTGGCCACCTCTAGCTGAAAGAGAAGTTGGAAAGTGAGTTCTTTCCCTGTTCGTTCTTCCAAGTGGAAGGGAGACAAGACAGAAGGGAAGAAGAGGAGGGTGGGCACCCAGGATACAGGCCAGTTGTGAGCTGTCATTGGGAAAGCCACCTCCCTAGCCCTGAGGACGAGTGGGGAGAAGAAGGCATGGGCCTCAGCCAGCAGACTGTCCCGTCATCCACCAGAGAGTGTGCACAACTACGTATGAGGCCCTGGAGCACCCACAGATTTTTGGCATCCATGGGGGTCCTGGAACCAGCACCCCATGAACACCGAGGGGCTGCTACGCTGTTATGTGCCGGTGCAGTCCCTCCCATCCCACTGCTGGCTTCTGGTCCTCTTCACTCCTTTGACTGGTGGCCGGGGGTTTGGGGACTGGCTGACCTGACTAGTTAATTTGGAAGAACTGGTCTCAGGGTGCCCAGCGCCAGCCTCTTCCTCTTGGGAACCAGCTGACTGCAGAAAGGGAGAGGTTTCCTGGGCCCCTGAACCTCCAGGTGCTTTGGTTCAGATCATACACAGCCCAAGGGCACCTGGGAGACTCAAGTAGGGGAGGAATCCAGCTGCCTGGAGGGACCTCTCCTAATCCTCAAAGAGGGGCCAGGGGGCCGGCAGCACCTGTGCTCTGTCCCCCACCCATGCTGCTCCTTGAGCAAGGCCATGTGGGGTGGCGTCTGGTTGGGAGCCCCAGTTGGCTCTGTTTCCTTTTATCTGGCCTATGATCGTAATAAGGTGACAAGATGACTCTGGGCTTCAGTTTTCCAGTTTGTTCAGATGCCCAGGGGTGGAGGCCTCAAGGTATCAGCTCCTGCCGTCTCTGCATCCTTATCATGGGCACTGGGGACTTGCCGTCAGGTTTGATCTCCTAAGCCAGTTTCCATTGGGGAAGTAAAGGGAGTGGACGGCGTTTTGACCCCTGGGTGGTTAGGGCACCACAGTGAGGGTTTCCAGAGAGTGCCCGAGCTCAGAGCGGCTTCTCGACCTCACGAGACAGGGCTCAGACTTCTTGTTGAAACCTTTGAGGGCTCCCGGACTGAGCCTGAAATCTGCAGTCCTTGCATGTACACTGATGCCAGCAGCCAAGGAGCCGCCATCAGCATGGGGACCCCTCCTGTCCCCCAGCCTCCATCTTCTGCCTTGCAGCTAGTCTGCAATCCGGGTGGAAAAATCAGCAGTGAAAACGCTGCACTCCATTTTCAAAGACAGAAACGCATTGTGTGTGGGTGTGTGTGGGTGTGTGTGGGTGTTTGTGGGTGTGTGGGTGTGGGTGGGTGTGTGTGGGTGTGTGTGTGGGTGTGTGTGGGTGTGTGTGGGTGTGTGTGGGTGTGTGTGTGGGTGTGTGTGGGTGTGTGTGTGGGTGTGTGTGTGGGTGTGTGTGGGTGTGTGTGGGTGTGTGTGGGTGTGTGTGGGGGTGTGTGTGGGGGGGTGTGTGTGGGGGTGTGTGGGTGTGTGTGTGGGGGTGTGTGTGGGTGTGTGTGTGGGTGTGTGTGGGTGTGTGTGTGTGGTTTTTTGTTTTGTTTTGTTTTGTTTTAAGAAAGAAAAGAAAACCCAAAAGCAGAGAATAACGCTCGTCTCTTTTAATTTTAGGCCGATTTGAAGTACTGAAGTCAGAGTGGTCGAGTCTGCGGGGAGGCAGGCGGAGGGGCCACCAGGTGCAGCGCAGCGGGGCAAGCTGGGCGGTCGACAGGAAGAGCGTCTAGAAGAAACACTCGTCTGCTGTCGGGTGGGAGAGGCATTAGTGAGAACAAGTATTCTCTTTCACTTCAAACAACTGCAGAGTTTTTCCTTAGAATATCAACAGGTAAATTCTTTAGAGAGCATGACTGCCTTCCTATTTCCACGGTCGTTCCCGCCACCTCCACCCTAAGTGAGCAAAACATGTTACGTGGATTGAATCTTCCCCGAGTTTGGTTTGAGAGGTGACGAAGGTCCCGGTAAGGACAGCCTTTCAGCCTGACTCTCTGTGCTGGACTTGAGTCCAGCCTTTGCAGGCAGAGCCAGCTCCCCCCATCCCAGGGCCCCAGCTAGGCAGAGCACGGCCCTCGATGCTGGGAAGTCCCTGGGGGCCCACAGGGTTGTTCTCACTACTCTGAACTCTCCACCTCAGACCTGATGGAGTACCTTGTGTATCGTTCCCACTTCCTGTCTTGTTGGCAGACCGAGGGTGGAAGCACCAGGGGTACCCCAGAGGGCTGTCTGCAAAGCAGCAGTCTCTTTTCTTACAGTCATCGGCCGTGACCACAGGGAAGCCACAATTCATCCTTTCGTAAACTTCCATCTCACACTTCTTCCCTACAAGTGCAGGAAGGGCAAGAAGCAGCCGTAAGTCGTGAGCCAGTCCCCCCTACTATCACACACACACACACACACACACACACACACACACACCCTGGCCTCTTTCTCCAAGGAAGGAAGCATCTGGTGAGGCTGATGCTGAGCCCACTTCTGGGTCTGAAAGGGAGGTGGGGTCTGTTTTCCTGGTGGGAAAACACGGGGGGGGGGGGTGCACAGAGAAAGCCGTGGACCCCGCCTGCCAACACCGCACCTGCCTGGTGACTTAACCACTCGCTCCTTAATCCCAACAAAGGATTGTTGAGCCTCACTCCCCTGATAAATAAGCATTTACTGAGCACCGTTCATGTGTGTGAGAAACACACCAGGCCAGGTGATGGGATCCAGAACTGTAACTAGAGCTGCTGTTCGGAGCCTGATGGAGAAGTCCATGGAGATGGATGACAACACAGAGCCGCCACCACTGTGCTCAGGGGAGTGTGGGGACAGTGGGGCTGGCCAGGAAGGCCCATGGCAGGCAGGTTGAACAAAACAGGAAGAGCTTCCTAACGGAGGAAGCTGAGCAGATGCGGAGCAGCCTGGAGCCGAGGAGCTGCCGGTCCAGGGGCAGGTGAGGTGGAGGGGTGGGAGCTGGGAGGAGCTGGACGAGGGCTGGGTGACAGATCCCGGGGACAGCTTGAAACAGGGCCGTGGTGAAAGTGCTCCAGAGGGAGGCTCATGGGGGAGGCTTGTGGGGGAGGTTGGGGAGGCTCCTGGGGGCAGCTAAGAGCTGCCAGATGGCCTGGGTGTGAGGCCAGCCAGGCCTGAGCCAGACCATGGTCTGGGTGTGTAAGGGATCTGGTGGCCGTCAGACTGCAGCAGGCGGTGGAAGAGGGATTGGAGCCGTGTGTCTCTGTGTTGGGGCTCAGGTAGAGCAGGCGCTCGGGAGTGCTGTGGGGTGTCTGGGGTTCTGTAGGGGCTGCCCTCCTGATGTGTTTCCACGTGTGGAGGTGTCACCAGCTTTCTTAAAGAGGGCTCCTGGCTTTGCAGCAAAGACATCAGCCTTCCCAGGTGTGACTCCCATCATGAATCTAAGGTGACCATTGTCCACTCCACAGGGCAGCCGGAGGTCTAGAGGAAGCCCACAGCAAGGGAGGAGCAACAGCCCCAGGGCAAGAGGGGCACCTGGCCAGGTAACCTGCTGCCTCCAGCTGGGTCCCCAAACAGAAGTTTAAGGTCTCCTAACCTGGCCCCTGCGCTCTACAGGCCTGTCCTGCCCTGCAGAGTGTGGTCACACGAGGGAACTAACGGCAGTGCTCCCTGTTGAGGGCCAGATGTGCCATTACGGCCTTCTAGATTTGTGCTACCACAGGACTGTGGACCCCAGAATTCAAGATGAGCCCTGAGCCCCAAGACAGGGGGCAAGGGTGGGGGCTGCCAGACCACGTAGCAGGCTGAGCTGGGCACTGGGAGGGGAGAGCCCAGCAGCCCGGGACCCTCCCCCGTCATTGCCTCTCTCAGGCCATTTCCTCCCTCAGGTTTAGAAGCCGACCCGCTCCCTGCCATGACTTTGGGGGCCCCAAACCATACCCTTCCTCTTTCCTGCTGCCCTACACTACCCCTTCCACCCGGCCCCAGCCCACAGGCATCAAGAGGGACCTGGAAGGGGCCCAGAGGGGAGCAGAGCCTCCCTAGCTCCTCCGTAATCTCTGTGGAGGCCGTTGACTTAGAAATTTTGGAAAATACTTTCTGCTGTGGATCTGACCACGGTCAGTGGCCTTCTGCAGCTCCTCCTAGCTGAGGACGCACGTCCACCAGCACTGCCACAGGCAGAGCACCGTTTCCAGCGGGCTCCCTGTGTGTCTACCGCGCCTTCCTGATGTACATGTCAGTGTCCAAATCTGGAGACCAACGAGGCCTTGGGACGTGGTAGACCCCTTCCCCCTGCACTCTCAGGGAGAGCTTGGGCCCACTGAGCAGAGCGGACAGCACAGGGGAGCAGGGGTGTGCACCCCTAGGAAAGGGGCTCTTCTCCCCCAGCCTGCAGCCATCAAGCCCAGGGACCTGGGGGTCGATTCTGAAAGACTGATGGCCAGGGAGCTCCTTCCTGTGGCCCTCCTCGCGGGCCTCGGAAGCCTGCCTCCACAGCTGGTCCCCACTTGCCTCTGCCCATCCTGCTACGGGCTGTACGTGCAGGGGCTGGACCAGTGGCTGGCACAGGCGGGGAACGAAGCAGAGTGTAACTGTGGCTCCCGCAGGTTCTCATGCCCACCAGGAAGCAGGAGGGCTTACCTCCAGGGTTCTCTGTCAGGGTGCTGAGGGCCAGCATGAGAACCATGAGCAGGATGCAGGTCACCTTGTGCCCCATGGCCACTTTGCCTCCTCTCGGCCCAGAGCAGACCACGAGTCAGGGATAGAAACCTGTCCGAGTTCTCACCTTTATACCGCAGGCCTATTTGCTTAGAGTGTGAGATAGCGTTTGCCTAAGGAGGGTCCCCAGCCCTCCATGCCAACAATCTCCACCAATCACAAGCTGTTCCTGAGACGCGCTGAAGCCCGTCAGCGGGTGTGCTGTTATGGAGAACACTGTGCGGACGGTCATCTAGGGGCAGGGATTCAAGATTCAGAAAGTCCCTCTCTTTTTTACCCCCCCCCCTTCTATTTTTTTTAACTTGTTCTAACTAGTTATCCAGGACAGTAGAATGCATTTTGACACACTGTACACAAAGGAGCACATCTTCTCCGTCCTCTGGCTGTGCATGGTCAGTCACTCCAGTAGTGACACAGGTACGTAGGGTAACAATGTCTGCCTCATTCTACGGTCCTTCCCATCCCCACTGCCACCCCTCCCCTCCCTCGCCTCTGCACAAGCCAAAGTTCCTTCACTCTTCCCTACCCTCTCCCCCTGCCCCACTATGGATCAGCATCTGCTTATCAGAGAAAACATTCGGCCTTTGGCTTTTTGGGATTGGGTTAGGTCACTTAGCATGATGTTCTCTACTGGGGACTGGGACCATCCACTTACCTGCAAATGCCATAATCTCATTCTTCTCTAAGGCTGAGTAATTCTCCATTGTGTGTATACACCACATTTTCTTTACCCATTCATCTGTTGTAGGTCACCTAGGATGGTTCCACAGTTTAGCTATTGTGAACTGAGCTGCTATAAACACTGATGTGGCTGCATCACTGTGTTATGCTGATTTTAAGTCCTTTGGGTATAAACCGAGGAGGGGGACAGCTGGGTCAAATGGTGGTTCCATTCCAGGTTTCCTGAGGAATTTTCATTCTGCAGGAAAGTCCCTGTCTTATCCCATGAGTCTCCTCCAACAAGACCTTGATCCGGGTCCCTCCCACACCTTGCTCTCACTGAGCTGGTTCATAGGGACACATGGCCAAAGAGGGCCCAGTGGCATCAAGCCCCACTCCAGGATGCCTTGGGAGGAAGAGCCCCATCCAGCTGACCTAGTCCTTTCAGGATGGACAAAGGAGTGATTCTTGGACATGTGGAGAGTCCAGGTCTGAGGGAGGGTCACTGAGGCTGGATGAGATGCTAAGGGGAAGAACAAGCCTGTTCCGCCCTCTGCTCAGCCCCAAGGCTTTGGACCTTCACCTGCACCTTCTGTCCACTTGCTTTGTCCTGCTGGACATCTCCATGGCAAATGTGTATGTGAGCGAGGCACCCAAGGCCCTTCACCGAGGGAGCCTGGCCCAGCCCAGGGGCTCCCATTCAAGCAGCCTTCACCTTGGACACACAGGGTTACTGGAACTGTAGGTGGAGGGGTGTCTCCTAGGTCTGCAGGCTGACCACTGTGCACCACCCCCAGTTCCTTACCCCAAGGGAAACTTGGAGGCATTGGGTGGGGTATATAGACAGAAATATCACCCTGAAATGTTGAACAATGGAATCTTCTCCAGCCCTGCATGAGGTGAACCCCCCCACCCTGCCCACATTCCCCTGCCTAAGCCTTCAGTCAGGCAGGCCGTGGGATACAGGGCAGAGGCTGCAGGGAGTGGGGCCCACGGAGGGACGAGTGGACACGGCACACGCAGTACCTACTGTTGAGCCCTAAACCAGAAGGACATCCTATTATTTGTGACCACACAGACAGAGCGGGAATACATTATGTTGAGTGAGTTGAGTTGAACACAGAAAGTCAAATCCTGCTTGTCTTAGATATGGACTCCTGGAAGCAGCCGGTGGGGTGGTGTTATCCGGGCTGGATGTGGGCTTGGGGAGGCATCAAAGGACACACAGTTCCAGTTAGACCAGAGGAACTAGTTCAAGAGAGCCAGTGTCCATCTTGGAGAGAGTGTTTATAGCAACATACTGTATATTTGAATAATACGAGCAAACTTTAAGTGCTTTCACTGCACAAAATAATATATGCACTTGCACAGACCCATACGTTAAACACTGATTTAGCCATTCCGTAAGGTACACGCCTGCGCTGGAACATCATTGCATACCACAAATAGGTATGAGTTTTATTTTCCCATTAATTTAAATAATAAATGAAGTGGGATCTAAAAAAGAAAGACAGACTGAAGGGGCCCACGGCATCCTTCAGAAGTCCAGTGGCCCCAGGCTTTGGAGCCAGGGTTGATGTGGGACCCACAGACCCTCAATGAGAATGGAGTCCAGGTCCCTTGGGGAGGGGTCTTAGAGCAAGGCCACAAGGTATATGGTGACCCTTCTCCCAAGCCTGCCCCAGAATGGCCTGGGCCATTTGCCAATGCTATGGGTTACCTTGTATCCCTACAAAAGATGTTGAGGTCCTGACCTCCAGCACCTGAGAGCATGACCTTGTTTGGAAATAGGGTCTTTACCTGGAAAATAAGCCGGGTTAGTTGGAGTTATTAAGGTGGCCATGACTGTTTCTCTATAAAAACAAGAAATTTGGACATTGACATGTACATCAGGAAGGCAAGGTAGACACACAGGGAGCCGCCATCTAAGTCCAGGGACCACTCAGGCTACCAGAGGCTGGGAGAGGGCTGGAGTGGATCCCCTCAGAAGGAACAGGCCGCAGACCCCAGGCCCCAGGCTCCAGCCTCCAGCAGCACGAGACGGTGCGACTCTGTCACTGAAGCTTCTCGCTTTGAGGGGCTTTGTTACCACAGCCCCGGCAGGCTAACATATCCAGCATGACTGGACACTGGGAAAAGAAACAAAGGCTGTCCAGGGTGGCCGAGCATTAGGTGACCTGACACTGAGCCTCAGAAACCAAGCCCACAGCAGTTCAGCATGTGACTTCAGGTGAGGGCCACGTCAGCCCAGCGTCCGTCCAGTGAGGCCTGACCCTCAGCCCCTAGGGAAGCTTCCCTAGCATTTTTCTATGGAATTTGTAATAACATGGAAAAGTGTCGTGCGGTGGTATTAAATAAAAAATAAACAGACACAAAAGTTGACAGACAACTCAGTAGGAATCCCCTGGATTCCGCCCTCTGGTCGCCTGAACCACTTCTAATGCACACAATCAACTTTCGCCACTGAGACACTGTGTTCCTAAAATGCAGGGTAAAGATTGGCCCCCTCAAAACCAGAGAGGGAATGAAAGTGCCTCCCCTCCTTCAGTGAGTCAGGCAAGATGCAGAGGGTGTTTGACTATGGGGTGCCCGGGCCCCCGCCCCACTGACACACTTGCTCTGTGACTGTTCCTCACCCCGTCCCTGAATTCAAACACAGGCCCAAGGTGACGACGCTGAGCGCGCCTGTGTCTCATAGATCTCAGGTACCAGGCGAGGAAGCAGCCCAGTCCAGCCCACTGTGTCCTCCTCACCCCTCCCAGCAAACCTCTACACACAGCGTCAATGTGCAGACGGGGCCCAGAGGGAAAGGATACGTGTGACCTGCAGTGGTAATGGGGCCCCACCCCGTCTACCCGTGCCCTCTTATCCTGGCCCCTCCTCCCACTCCTGCCCCTCACCAGCACCAGCCCGCAAGGCCCCTAACCTTGTCCTGGACGACCCTGACATCTGCCTAAGGCAGGCTATAAGGCAGCCCCTGGGGCAGGGCACATGGCTGAGAAAGGCATCTGAGCTGCCCAAGGGCCTGGGGTAAGGTGAGGACTAGACCGCAGGTTCCTGATCCCACCTGCATCCAGAGAGTGTGCCCCTCTTCTCAGGCCACCTCGCCACCAGAAGACCACCCAGGCCCCTCAGGAAGGCATGTTGCGGGGACTGAGCGCACACTCTAGAGGAGCCCACAGCGGGGCTGCCGTGGCCAGCAGTGGTGCCTCCTGGTACCAGCAGTGTTCAAAGGAGCGACTTCATCTGAAAGATGACTTAGGAGGAGGTGAGGTCCTCCGGCAGCATGGCGCCCTCTCCCTTGCATCCTGACACCTTCAGTGTGAGAGGAAGGGGCAGCTTTGAAGTCACCATGGTGGCACCACCCAGCCTAGGCTCCCTGTGTGAAGTCTGTCCCCGGCACACAGCAGGCAGCTGAGTCCACCCGTCACTCTGTGCTGTGATCTGCAGGTGTCCTGCCTCCTGAAGGTCCATGTGCTGGAAGCTTGGCCCCAGTGTGGAACGTGGAGGAGGGGGTGCCTCTAAGAGGTGAAGCCTCGCGGGAGAGGATGGGTGTGCCCTTGGAGGGGTTGAGGTAGTTCTGGTGACAGCGGGGTGTTGTGTGGTAGTCTCCTCCCTCATTGGGCCCTTCTTCACAGGGCCAGTTTCCCTTCCACTTCTCTGCCATGTTGAGACACAGCCAGGGGGTCCTCACCAGCAACAGCACAGGCTGCTGGGACCACAACCGTGAGACAGATGAACCTCTTCCCTTGATGAGCCTCAGGTATCTTTTTAGAGCAACAGAAATGCACCAGGTCAGTGTAAAATATTATATTTTGAGATTCCCACTTTACACAGGGGATGCCGTAGTCCTTTCCAAGGGCGTCCCTGGTCTTTTTGGTTTTCCCGTGGGCAGAGATGATGAACTGGAGTGAGTTTCTGAGAGCAGACCTCGGGGCACCTGGGCTTCCCTTCCAGTCTGCACTGAGGATGGGGTGATGAGGAGGTACATGGGGCCCAGAGAAAAATGGAGCATATAGCCTCAAAATTTTTATGACAGGTGCGTGGCATTCAAGAAGTTATTCTGTATTTAAAATCCTCAGAAGTGTTAGTCCTTATCAAACAACAGAGCCTCACAGTACGAGAAATAGAATTGAAAGGAGAAGGAGATCAGGACACAGGGACACCAGGGACATCAAGGCCCCTCACAGCAGCTGGTAGAACTACGGAGCAGGAGGTTGACAAGGGCACCAGAGATCTGAACTACACCACCCATTAAGAGGACCTGATAAATAGGATATGTCACCAGAAATAGCAGAAAGCACATTTTCTAAGTGTCCATGTAAACCCATAAAGATCCAGCATGAGCCAGATGTGATGGTATGTCAGGAGCAGTGGGTGAATTAGGGTTTGTTTGTATCATCTCAAGGCAGAGGTGATGCCCTTCTGAGAACTCCAGGTGATATCTTGCTGATTCAAGGCAGCCCACCTGGTGATGCCTGCTCAAAAAGGATTCTGTGTCTCGTTTATTGGCTCGTTTATTGAATTTATTGGCTTGTTTATTGAATTTATTGGCTCAAATAGCCCTAAAATCAAATGCCAGTTGCCCAGGGGTGGAAGAGATATCTGTGTGCCTAGGGGTGGAAGAAATAGCTGTGTGCCCAAGTAGCCTGAGGCACCAGCTACCCAGAGAAGGGAGAAATACCAGGCAAGTTTAAGCCCTCATTTAGGCTATTTTCCCACAGCCCTGCTTTTGTTTATCTTGAAGAAGCTTTTCTCACAATAAATCCTTTTGATGTGTTTGCCTATAAAATGAAGCACACGGAGTCTCACTCTTTGTTAGCGATCAGATCACCATCAGGGCTGATCTGCCCACTGGGCCGCTTTTCACCTAGATTCGAGTCTTTGTATTTATTTCTTATCTAAGTTTCCTAATACAGCCCACCACCTGCATTCCGAGGACTGTTCAATCACTGAGCAGGTTGTGGCGAGACTGGTGCACAACTTAATCCCAGCAGCTTGGGAGGCTGAGGCAGGAGAATCACAAGTTCAAAGCCAGACTCAGCAACTTAGCAAGGCCCTAAAGGAACTCAACAAGACCCTGTCTCAAAATAAAATATAAAGAGGGCTGGGGATGTGGTTCAGTGGTAAAGCACCCCTGGGTTCAATCCCCAGTACAAAACAAAAAAACAAAAAACAAGATGCACCATAAACATGCATCTAAAATAACTGAAATTATAGACTGGATTTTATGACTACAACAGAATCAGACAGACTCTCTAAACACATGGAAATTGAGTAATATTCTTCTAAGTAATGCACAGTTTAAAAAGGAAGTTTCAATGAAATTTAAAAACACACAGAACTGAGTGAAAATAAAAACATATCAGAGGCTCAGCGGAAGCAGTGTGGAGGTAGAGATTTACAGCATTAGCCTACGTTAGAAATGAGGACAGAGTCAGGCCAGTGGCAGATGCCTGCCGTCCCAGAGACTGGGAGGCCACACAGGAGGATCACTTGATCCCAGGAGTGTGAGGCCAAGAGCAAGAGGCTATCTTAAAGAGAAAACACACACACACACACACACACACACACACACACGAGAGGAGAGAGAGAGAGAGAGAGAGAGAGAGGTCTCAAATCAATGACCTAAGTTCCTACCTTGAAAGGCAAGAAAAAGAAGAACTAAATAAGCCCAAGGAGAAGGAAATAAATGATAGAGGTAAGAGCAGAAATAGATGAAATTGAAAATAGTGGGGAAACAAGACCAAAAAAAACTTGCTCTTTGGGAAAATCAGTAACACTGACAAACCTATAGCAAAATTAACAAAGATTTAAAAAGAGAGAACACAGTAACTCATATCAAATTAACAGGGGACATCACAACGGACCCTGCAGGCATCTGAAGGGAAAAAATTTTCAAGAACTTCATACTCAAGATTCTGACAACTGAATAAACTAAGCCCTCAAAAACCACAGGGTACCAAAACTCAGATAAGATGACATGCACAACTTGAATGACCCTATGACCACCCAAGAAATTGAATTTATAGTTTTAAATCTCAAAAAAAAAAAAGAAGACATTTTTATACCCTTTTTTAAAAGAATTAACACCAGTTTCACACAATCTCTTCCAGAAGGATAGAAGGCAGGTGAACATTTCCCAGCTCATTTTACCCTATTACCAAAACCAGGCAACACCAATTTACAAAAAGAAAACAGCACATATTGGATTACCTGCAAGACGCTTTGGTGAAATCTCAGCACAACTAATTCAACAACACCCTGCACTAACTCCACCTGACCAGGCGGGCTCATTGCCACCGTGCAGGACTGGTTCGACATTAGGGGGTCATGAATGGAATCTATCACACCAGCAAGGCACAGAAGACAAAGCTCATGGTTGTATGATTGATATGGAAAATAACTGACAAAATCCAGCATCTATTCATAATAAATTTTAAAAAGTCTTAGCAAGTTAGTAGCAGAGGGTGTTCCTTGACTTGGAAAAGAACATCTACAAACCTAACATCCTGCTTAGGACTGGCCACCTCTGCCCTAAGGCTGGGAGTACGGCCAGGAAGCCAGGTCTCATTCAACATGGGCCTAGAAGCTGTCGTCACTGAAACCAGGCAAAGGGAAGAGAGGAAATGCAGAGATGAGCAGGGAAGAAATGGAGCCCCCCGTGTGCACATGGGTGATCTGCAGGACAGGTAAGTCCCGGGGAGGACGGGCTGCAGCCTGAGGTAGGGCAGGATTAGTCTGTGCGAGGCGCTGGCCTCCACCCAGCCTCTAAAATGAAATAACCCCAGTGAATCTGCAAACACAACAAAAGAATCCCAGAGACTCCTGAGAGAACCAGTAAGGACCCCAGATACAAGGCCCCACACCAAAGCACCCGCACTTCTGTGCACTGTCACCGAATACGCAGAATTTAACATCAGAAACACAACTGCCATTTACAGTCACTCAAAATGGGCTACACTTAACATGGACAAGATCCTATGCTGGAAACGCCGCCGAGGTTCTGAGGGAAGAGCCAGACGTCCTGGAAAATGCAGAGGCGCGCCATGTCTGTGCCTGGGAAGGCAGGCCCAGAGTCCGTCCCCTGGCTTGGCCACAGGGGAGAGGAGCTCCTGAGAAGCCCAGCCAGGTTTCCTAGAGACACCCACAAGCTCACTTCAGAGCTGATACGGAAGACACAGGCCCCAGGATAACCAAGACAGGCTTGAACAAGAAGATCAGTGGGAAGAACCCCACCCAGGACATGTAGGCTCACTGTTTTAGGGACAGTGATTGACAATGTGGTAGTGGCAGATGGATAGACACACAGATCAACAAACAAAAGAGAGACTAGGAAACAGACTCACACAAACATGCCCGGCTGATATGGGCAAAGGAGCAAAACCAATTCAGTGGAAGAAGGAAAGCCTTTCACCAAATGGCGCTGAAACACCTGATATGAAACTCAAATACATCATAGAACCAAAACTGAGATATAATAAAATATAGAACCTTGAGAAAAATAGGCGAAAAGCTTTACATAACATGTAACAATAAACCCCACCGTTATGCACAACTTCAAGGCACCAATGTAAAAAATGTGGAAACAAAAACAAACGTTGAGAACCTAGAACTAAGCAAAGGGTTCTTCAAGTCGGCACTCTGAACACCAGATGTACAAGGAAAACGCCAACGGAACCACACCAAAGTAGGAAAGCCCAGTGGACAGGGACAGAAAGACAGCCTGCAGACTGGGAGAAAATATTTGCAAGCTACACATCTGGCAAAGGATTTGTATCCAGAATATAAAAAGATGCAACAGTAGAAAACAATCCGCTTTAAAAAATGGGCAAAGAGCATAGAGATGTTTCACTAAAGAGGATGGCAGCCATCTCATGAAAAGATGTTAGCCACCAGGAAATCCAAATCAGAACCACAAATAGATGTCTCTGCACACCTATCGGGGTTGACAGGTCAGTTCCTAACAGGCCAAAGCCAGCCTAGTTCGGATGTTTGTTCTTCAAGAGGAGCGTGGCCGCACACCTGCTGGTCCACACGACTGGAATGCGCCTACATTTTAACGTCATAGACATTAAAATGTTCCAACATCAGCAGCTCCCAACCCACCCCTGCCCGCCGGGCCACTGCAGGCCAGGGGAGCCAGAAGAAGGGCAATTGCAGGTGCAGGGGCCACATCCTCCCACCCTTGACCCCCAGCAGAACGAGGGGTCAGCAAGTGGCCGAGGCAGGTGAGGAGGGGACAGAAGGCCCAGCTTGCCTGCACAGCTGGGCCCTATCACAGCCAGCTCCCTGTCAAGGACAGGAGGAGGGTGGGGCCTCTGCATGGCACCCAGATGAAGGGAGAAAATGCCACTGACAGCCCAGCACGCACCCGATCCCGACCCCAGTGCGAGAGCGGCTTCCAACCCCACCCTGCTTCCCCTTTGTTCCTAGGAAGGAAGCCTCCTGTTGCAGCTTCCCGCCAGCTGGGACAGTCTTTTGACCATTCTTTGAACTGGACCTTGGATCGCTGTGTTTCTGATTGATCACCCTAATGCAGACCAGAGCCCAGGGGGACCCAGAGATGTGGCAGGGCTCCACCTTCTCACCTCCAGTGTGTTCTGCACTTGTAAGTGGAGAAACCAATCGTGTTACTAATTCATGTTGCCTTCGGCCGAGTCTCGCCTGTTTCCAAGACAGAAGTGTGCCGGCGTGCGAAGCAGCAGCACTTGGACAATCCATGGAGTGGTGGCTTGTTTTGTGGTGGCTGTTCATTCATGTCTCCAAGCTCCTGGGCTTCCTATGGGTCCTGGACTCTGGCCTGGGGCCAGGAGCATGGGGAGAATGGAACAGCTTCGCTCTCAGTTGAGTCTCAGTGTGGAGTGAGTGACTCATGAGCTAGTGGCCATGCTGCCACGGGAGTGCCACCACATGCACACACACCAACAGGTCTGTGCACGCACACACAGGTATCATGAGGAAAGAGTGGGGCCACAAAGTTCAGGGGGAACCCGACCACTCCCCCAAAGAGACAAAATGAGGCAGCAAGCTAAGAACTGCGTGGTCAGACGGCTCTGCAGGCCCAGCTCCCCCGAAACCCTGTCACACAGAGAACATTCCAGCCGAGCAGCAGGCCAAGTGAGGCTTTCTGTCACAGGCTGAGGGGGACAGTGGCCCATAGGGGACTCTGTCGACTCCATCTAAACGGGCTGATCAGAGTGGATGCTGGAGATCCACACAACAGAAGTCCTATTCTTTTGGCCCTGGCTGGGCTTCCTATCCTCTGGGCTCAGTCCCTTCCGCCTCCCCGTGGCTGAGGCTGGTCCTCAGAAGTTGCACCTGCCCATCTGAAGGCAGTGTGCCGAGGCCGGGATTCTCCATTCTTTGGGGCTTCAGGGCTTTGCCCTGCATCTGTGACCGACACTCCCGCACCAGACAGGGAGAACTGGAGGACACAGTCATCAGGGTGACCCCAATTCAGACAGGCACCTCCTGTACCAGGAGGAAGGCAAGCATTCAGGTTTTTATGGCCAACTATGATATTTAAATTGTTGACCAAACAAATAAAGTCAAATTAAATAAAAAAGCAAATAAGCTATTGGCCGATTTTTAACAGTCTTTTCCCCAGACTTTTTCCCCCCACTCTTTTCTAGAATGTTGTTAGTTCTTCTCCTTCTCCTTTTTTGTGGTTCTGAGCATTTGACCAGATTGTTCTACCACTGAGCTACATTCCCAGCCCTTTTTATTTTATTTTACTTTATTTATTTATTATTTATTTATTGAGACAGGGTCTCACTAAGTTACCCAGGTTGGCCTTGAACTTGCAATCCTCCGGCCACAATCTCCAGAGTCACTGGGATTTCAGGTGAATGCCACCTCACCTGGCTGTTGTTGGGTCTTCTATAATTCTTTTGAAACGTTAAAGTCATAGGAAATACTATTGAGATTGCTGTTTCTGGTGGCTCTGACCTGGATGGCTATGGGGACATTCACCATCTCAGGACAGGAATGTCCACAGCTGGCCCTCAGGTCCCAGCCAGCCACGGGCAGCCCTCTTGGTCTCTGGTGTATCCTCCAGCCATTTCTCTGGAGATGGCTGCAGGCAAGAGGGCTGTGGCCATGACTGTCCCTCCTGGCCTGGCTTTCAGGCACCAGAATGGCCTAAGCTGCAGCAGTGGAAGCAAATACCTCCTTGGAGGAGGAGAGTTGATCAGGACTTGGATTCACTAACATGTCTCAATAGCTCCAAACAGCTGGCACAAGAAACTTCTGCCTCAAAGGCCAAAGTGTCCGACTCCGTCTTGCTTTCTTTCCTGTAGTATGATGAGCTACTCCAAATCCCAGATACACCACTGGCCCTCCATGGGACCCTGGGAGAGTGCTGCACTTCTCACACCATCTCATCCACGGAAGAGAATCATACAGACCCTCTCTCACTGAACCTTTGTGAAAATAAGGCAGGCAAACCGGGCTCAGGCCCCAGCACCCTCGAGTTCATTTCCTGCCTGCTTTACCCAGGATCTTTCGTCAGCTGCCAGACATCTCCTAACAAAATTAAGCAGCAGTTAGAGAAGGCAGAAGCCACAACAGAGCAGAAACTTGTTTCTCAAGCAAGATGGTGCACAGGAAGTCTTTCCCCTTCACTCTGTGGATATTTGCTGTTTCCAAAGACAGATGGGCAAAAAGACTTAATGTAAAACTGGGCTGGACATTTTCTATTACTGAGTTCCCCTCTTACCCAAGGTTTCTCTTTACAAAGTTTCAATTACACAAACTCAATCATAGTCTGATACTACAAAGTGGCAAATTCCAGAAATAAACAATTAGTAAGTTTTAAATTACACGCCATTCTGAGCAGTGTGATGAAATATCATGCCATTCTGCTTCATCCTGCCCAGGATGTGAGTCATTTCTTTGTGCAGTGTATCCATACTGTATATACCACCCACCTGTTAGTCACTTAGAATCATCTCAACTATAAGATTAGCTGTCATGATAGAGCAGTGTTATGCCCAAGTGGCCCTTATTTTACTTACTCATGGTCCCCAGGTTCAAGAGAAGTGATGCTGGCAGTTTGGGTATGCCAAAGAGAAGCCATGAGGAGCTTCCTTCAAGCAAAGGTAAAATATCAAAAGATATTTTGAAAGAGAAAGAGAAGCCGCAACCACACCAATTTTTATTACAGTAAATTCTCAGAATTGATCTATTTTATCATTAGTTATTACTTTTAATCTTTTCCTATGACTAATTTAAACTTTACCGTAGATGTGTGTGTATATATAGGGAAAACATGATATGGAGAGAGTTCAGAACTAGCCCCGCCTCAGGCATCCATGAGGGTCTCGCAATGTTCCCCGAGCACAAGGGCCGTACTGTGTGGAAATCTGTCCGTGGCTCTGGTGTGGGTGGGGAGATCCAAATTCAGCCACTGCCAGCCAGTTTGCCCTAGCTCTTGTACTTCATCTGTCCTCAACACACATGTGCACATACACACACACACACACTCACACACACAAGCTTCCTGGAGCCGCTCCTCCCCAGGCACCTGATCACATCCTGCTCTCTTTTAAACTCACTGACCTTGTTCATCACTGCCACATGCAAAGCGACTGATTCAGATTCTGATGACTTAATTTGTGACAAGCACCAGTGGCCAGTGAGACTTACCAAGTGACCCTCCTCTGTTACTATGTGACATGGGACTCAGGGCAGGGGGGTCAGCTGGGAGGGGCAGGTGTGCGGAAGATTAACAGACTCCGTGGGGTTGACCTGCGGCCATCTACTCTTCTTGTTTTTAGTGCCCACTGGGTTGGAGCTGGTGGCCCCTTTCTACCCAGGACTTCATCTCTTCTGACTCTGCTTGTGAGTCTTGTATTATAATATGAGGCAACATGAACCTGCTAAGAAACCTGTTCCAACAGAAAAACGCAAACTGCACAACAGGCACAGAAGAGATCAAAGAAGAGGCTCCAGTCTCAGGACTTCCGGCTACACGGGGAGTCGGCACTCAGCCAAGAGTGAGATGCAGGGTTCTCAGGAAGCAAGAGGCCAAGGAGGAGCCAAGCACCAGGCTATGAGGACATGGTTCTGGTATCCAGAGGGACACATGGAGAGAGCTGCATCTACAGGGATGGCTTTCAGGGCCCTGGGTCCCCGTGTGTGGCCAAGTGGTCGTGGTGCTCTGCCTGCAGGATCGCCTGCTTTATCAGTGCTTTGCACGACCCTGCCCAGAAGAGCCCGGGGCTGGTGGGAAAGGCTGCTTCTGTGCCTAGTGGGAGGCAATAAGAAGCTTCAAGTTCACTTCAGCCCAAAGCCCCGGGCCGCAGTATTGGAAGAGGGCCAGGAGGGCGCTCCCTTGGGCTCTGCTATTCATGCCTTGAGCCAGAACCCTGGAGGCACCTGCTCAGTCCAATGTACCCACACAGGAGTCCAGGGAAGGACGGGGCCGTCTCCCTCGAGAGCTCTGGTGGCAGCATGTCCCCCTGTCTTCAAGACTGCAGGTCCCTCTAGGAGTGAAAAACAGAGGGTCAGCATCGTCACTGACGAGTGTTCTCCATGACCAGTGAGGACAAGCCTGGCCTCAAGGGAGGAGGCTGCGGCTGTGTGTGGGGGACCCCGATGCCCAGCGAGGCTGCCTTGCTTCTCCTCACCGCCCAGAGAAGCCCATGCCCTCCCCTGGAACCTAGGCCTTAGCACGGTGTCCCAAAGTTCAGGCTGGAGTCAGAACAGTTGGCTTTGTGACCCAGCAGGCTACAGAAGCTAGTGTGCCCGCGACCCTGTGACTGACAGGACAGTTTGCCAAACCCGGCCAGGGCTGGAAGGGCCTCATGACGGAGCTCAAGCAGGACAACAAACACCTCCGAGACCACGCAGGGGAGGGGAAGCCACTTCTAAGTCTCTCCAGGATGTCAGAGGAGTGATCCCAAACCAGGTCCACAACCAGGGACATCTCCTGCAGACTCCGTGGTCAGAGGTGGCAGATGACTAAGATGCCCTGCAGAGGGCGTCAAAGGCACCTGCCAGCCACTCCTCAGAGAGCAGGCTGCTTCCTGAGAGTGGTGAGAACTTATTCTAAAGCCTTTCAGGGAGCCAAAGCACATGGACCGGCATTTCTCAGAGGGCCCCGGAACACCCTGTGCATACAAATGACCAGGTCCTCACGCCCAGACCCCCAGGCAGACTGTCTGGAGGAGGTCCTGTGGCAACAGCAGCCAGGGAGGGTCTTATGCATCCCAAGTTGGAGATCTGGTCGTTCCACTGTGCGGAGCCGCACTGGGTGACAGTCTGGGATCTGCTTAGACTCACTCTCGCCCCCTTTACAACTTGGAAGCCCGAAGCAGGTTTCCTCCCCGTCATGCAAGGAGGGTCATGGCATCTGCCACCCGGGACAAGGCTCCGAAGGCCTCGCATGCCCTGCGGGGAGACGGCAAGCTGCTCACAGGCCCTTGCCACAGAGCAGAGGTGCTGGGACCAGAACCAGTCGTGGGCCTCCCCTTGAGCCCTGGGAACCAGGCATCTTCTCGTTCGAAGCAGAAAAAAAAAAATCAAGAGGGAAAACCAGGGGTCCAAGCCTGAGAGGCACCCTAGGCGTTTGGTGTCCTCTCTTCCTCGATTATTTCAAATGAGAAAAGCATTTTGAAATGGTCTTCGACCCACAGGGACGGGAAGCAGGGTGGTGGGTACTTGGCTGGAGAAGTGGGGAGGGCTGTTAAAAGGGGACCAGGTTCACTTGGGGATGATGACAATGTTGTGTGACATAGAGGACACACCACATCGTCAATGTAAGAAATAACATGGTACTGTTCACTTTAAAATGGTTCATTCTGTGCTATGGAAATTTAACCTGAATTAGTCTTCAAAACTGATCCAAAGAGTAATATAAGACTCAGTCTGAGGCCAAGTCAGCAGATATTTGCCAGGTGCCCTGGAGGCCACGGCTTGGCCTCGCCTCCCTGCCTCCCAGCCTGCTCTGGAGGGCTGGGGTCACCCCCACCTTCTACCATCACAGCGGGGCCTGTGTTCACTGGAAATTCCCATCCCCTGGTGCCCAGCAAGTCTCAGCTGCCTGGAGGCGCAGGGTTCTGCCTGCCTGCCCAGGGCCTGACGAGCCACTTACTGGCCAGGGCTCTCCTGCAGGCCCTTCCCACTTCTCTCCCAGGCAGACCCCCCAAGAAGCACAGCCTGGGCCCCGCACACTGGAGATCTCCATTCCATCCTGGCTCCCAGCAAGGGGCAGTCCTGTAGGGAGCGCCCAGGGCCCTCTGTGGCCAATTCCACGGTGTCCATGGTCACTCCACCACCCACCCTCTGTGGGTGCACATGGCACACTTGACTTGGCCCCACCCCAGAGAGGCTCCTTTGGGACTGCCCTTTTCCCTACTGGGTAAAGCAGTTCCATTCTTCTCGTCCCAGTTGGGGTCCCTCCTCAGTGTGCCAGGACCACACCTTACAAATGGCATCAACCAAGGATTAGCCATGCTTGAGGACTGATGCCCTGAAGCCACCAAATCACCGCTTGCTGAGTCAGTAGCCACTGGCTCATCTGGCTCTCTACAGCAGAGCTGGGCCACGTTAGAACCCATGCGAGCTGCCGGAGCCGGTACCCACCTCCATCTGCTCGTGAATCCAGTCCAGGAAGGAGGTGATGCGGGTGTAAACCCCGGGCTTGTTCACTTCGGCACAGCCAATGCCGAAGCTCGTGGCACCCACCAGCTTCCACAGCCTGCGCTCTTGGCACACCAGGGGCCCCCCACTGTCTCCCTGGATGGCAGGAAGGAGGCAAAAGTCAAGGGGACAGCACGGGTGCCCTGGCCATGGCACAGAATTCCCCCTTACAGCATCACATGCTCCGCAGGAGGATGGCTCTGTGTTCCCCACCAGCCCTTCTAGAAAGCATGCTGGCATTCCAAGAGCGTGGGCCCGAGGCCCCACTGGGGCAGGTTCCCTCCAGCTGTGTCTCCCACCAGGTCTCAGATACTGAGCCCATGAGGGTCAAGGGCCGCCAAGGGAGCTCTGGAGGGAAGTCTGCCTGGGCCAGACCCTCAGCATCCTGTGGTCCACCAGGCAGGATCTGTGTCTTTGGGGGGCCCGGGTTCACTGGCTCCTACCTGCCTCCCTCTCTATTAGCCCCTCACACACTCAGAACTGGGCTGGGGGAAGGAGGGAAAGGCCCTCCCAAGTCCAGTGGCCTTGCAGACCCAGAGCACTGGGTAAACACCAGCCCCTGCCGCCAGGAAAGGCAAATATCTTAAGCAAATTTCTTCCCAACACTGTGTAAATTTGCTTTTCGTTCAATCACAGGGCTGGTGGTGGCCTGTTTCACGTGCTGGGTCACTCCTGGACCCTTGCCCACTGCCACGACCCCAGGGCCGCCAGGAGCCCTTACCTGGCAGCTGTCTACACCACCTTTCAGGTAGCCAGCACAGAGCATGGAAGGGGAGATGATGCCTCCGTAGACATCCCTGTGGTTACAGAGCTTGTTGGAAATCAAGGGGACAGCTGCATGGTTCAGGACAGGGGACGCGTCACCTGCTTCAAAGCAAGAAGGGAATGTCCAGGGAGGAGGAGGCCCAGCTCAGATGCAGAGGGTGTGTGCTGGGGACTTGGGTGGTGGGGGAAGAGGGGCAGGCTGCCCAGCTGCACTGGTGGTCATGGCCAGGGTCCGTGGGTGGCCAGCAGACTCACCTGCTGTGGACATCCCATGCCTAGAGCCTCACCCCCTCCTCAGTGGGCCGCAAGTCAAGGTCACTAATTTCCCTAAGGGGCCTGGAGTGAAGGAGGACATGGGGACAACTGAGCCAGGGTCCCCCCACCCCAGGGCCTGTCGTGGCCGACACACCAGCCAGTCCAGGTTCCAGGAAGGAAAATGAGATTCATGAAGGTCACCTACAGCATCTGGGCAGAGCCCTGCAGTGGTCAGCAGAAAAATGCCCTCCAAGAACATGCCCATCTCAGTCCCTGGAGCCTGTGACTAGTCACCGAACCTGACAAAAGGGACCTGGCAGGTGTGACACAGGTATGCACCATGACACCATCTGGGTTATGTGGGTGAACTCAGTGAAGTCGCAGGGCTTAACAGACTCAGAGGAGGTGTGGTGACGGAAGCAGAGGTCAGGACCACGGAGAGGCTGGAGAGCTCCTGGCCCTGGAGCAAGGGCAGAGCCCAGGAGGGGAAGGGGGAGCAGACTGTCCCCAGAGCCTCCGGAGGGAGCCAGGCCACCAACACTCTTCAGCCCACTGAGACCAACACTGGGCTCCTGACCTCCCTAATTGTAAGGTGAAAAGTCTCATTTTAAGCCACTAAGTTGGGGATCGTTTTTTGCAGCAGCCACGGAAGACCAATACCCTGAGATGGGTCTGCCTGACCACTGACAGGGGTGGACCCCTCCACGAGAACTTGCCTTTTCACTGTGGAGTCCTGAGGCAAGAGGGTCCTTCCTCTCCACCCCTAGCAGACAAGCAGGGGTGTGTGGGTCTGTGCTCCTCAAACCCCACATCTTAATTGACCAAATTACATGGCTATATTATGTTCATGTACAAATATGAAGCAAAAAACCCCACCATATGTGTAATTATATACACCAATAAAAGTCCACATCGTAAGTGCACAAGTGAGCGTCACCTGCGCTTCCTGTCTGCCCAGGTCCTCCCCACATCTCACCCTCAGTGGGACTGCCTAGTGCTGATGTCCGGCTGAGTAGCCATCTCCACCCACCCCACAGAGATTCCATGGGGCCAATCAAGTACTCTTTTCCGGGTACTCCAAATTCTTGAAGATGGCCCTGGCGAAGGGCAGGGTGGGAGGCTGAAGGTGGACCCCAGGCCTTGGGCCAGCTGGTTGTGAGAAACTGGGCAAGGGGTGCCCTCCCTTCTGCCTGTGTCCCCACCCACACATGAGCACAGTGATAGCACCCCTTGGGGCTGCTTGAAGGAGCAGGCAGACACACAGAGCTCCGAGCACACAGCTCTGTGTGGGGGAGGAGCTTCCTGCACACAGGCGAAGCCCCTGGGACAGAGCCTGGCAGGGAGAGGGAGATGCGGGCTTGGTGGGAAGCTGAGCAGATGCACCAGGGAGAAGGGGGATCTCCTGCAGCCCCTCCTCTTCCCAGTCCCCTGTGATTCAATCCTTCTGGTGGGATGGGTGGTCTGAGTGAGCGCTCCCAGGAGAGAGTGGGCATGGTTTGCTTTCCCTGCTAGGCTCCACAAGGCAGAGGCTGGTTCTGATGGAGCTGGGAGCCCCTGCGCAGGCCATGTTGGCAGACGGTTTGACTGAGTGGGTGGGTGGGCTTGAAACCAGTGAGCACCGTAAGGACCTTGAGCCAGGATGGACACCACTGGGGGTGCTGCTGGGAATGCTGGGTAAGCAAGGCCCAGGGACACTGTGGACCTGGTAGGCTCCCGCGTGCCTTCCAGAGGGCAAACTCAGCTCACAGCTGTCTAACGGAAAACAGGGAGCTTGCTGCCCTTGGTTGAATTGGGCCACCCCAACATGCTACATGAAACCATGAAATCCAATGCTATTTGGAACTCAGTGTTTGCAAATGTAATGAGGGGAAGGGTCTCAAGGCAGATCATCCTGCACTTAGGCAGGCCCTAGACCTAGTGATTGGAGTCCTTACAGGACAAAGGAGAAGGAGATCTGAGGCACAGTGACACGGGAACACCTAGTGGAGATGGAGACTGAACCTGGAGTGACACATCCATAAGCCAAGGAACACAGAGGGCAGTGGGTGCCACCAGACCCTCAAGAGACTCCTGGAGCAAATTTCCCTGCAGAACCTGGGAAGGAAGCAGGCCTGCCCACACCTGACCTCCGACTTCTGGCCTCCAGAGATGTGGGACGTTCTGCAGTTATAAGCCAGTAGATTGCAGCCATTTGCCATGGCAACCACGGGAAACCGACACCACTCCTCCTAACAAGGAGCAGTTGATGGAGACCCTGCCATGACCACACAGGCGCCCCACTCTTCTGAAGAAAGAGGCTGGGTTTATTCATCTGCTGCTTGCATTGTCTGCATGGCTACTTCTGCTGTTATCAGAGCAATAAGATCCCATCAGGTGGCTCTTTCTACTTGACCTTTGTAAGATGAAATATCACACCTTTCCAAAGTCCCACAGGCACAAGTTCTCCACCTGATACCCATCTCTGACTGCTCGGAGTCTCTTCCAGGCTGGCTCCACATGTTAGTTAATGGGTGGGAGGTGGAGGGGCGGGAGGGGGGCCCTGCTGATGTTCTCCCTGGAGTCTCATTTCTCCCCTGAGAACATCAGCCACCTCGTGTAGTCCTCAGGCAGGTGGGACCATGTCTTGTGACCCACAGCCACGCAGCAGGGGAGTGCATGACCCGCGGCTGGGAGCTCTGCACCCCACAGGGACATCACATGGGGACCCTGGAGGGGCCCCTTCCCAGTCCCAAAGTTCTGAGCTCCTCAGCTCAGAATCTGATCACTGACCTCCGTCCTCCGTGGCCCCCCATCCGGACGTCCAGCACACTTTTCCATCAGGAAAGTTCTCCTCAGAGTTGGGCAGACAAACTGGTTGGATCATCTCTGTTTGAAGAGGAGGGAAATGGCCTCAGGTCAGTGAAGCACTGGTCACAGGAAACAACTGATCTCTGGGGGGCAACTAGCCCAGAGTAGGGAGCCCACCCCACCCACCACCCAGAGCTCCCAAACTGGACAGCATGTGGGCCTAGAGGGGCAGCAGGGCTTTGCTGTGACATAGTAAGTAGTTCAGGCTCCGAGGGCTGAGCAGTGTCTGTCCCTACCACTCAGCTCTGCCTCTGGAGCATGGAAGTAGCCACTGGTGCTGGTCAGCAATGGGGCCATGCTCCAGGACGGTTTTATTTCCCCAAACAGGCAACAGGTGGAGTTGGGCCCCCTGGTCTGGATATCGGGTAGGTACTTTGCTTAGGGAGCACCACATCGTGGGCATTCCTGCCATTCCTGATGTGTCTAGTGGCAGCAAGCTTGCCTGCATGTGAGGCTGTGCCACCCAAGTCCTCCCACAGGGACAGTGCCCAAGTGCCCAGGGTTTGCAAGTGTATCCCAAGATGTGCTTCTCGGGGTGGGACAATAATGGAAAGGCTAAAAAGGAATGAGGAGATGTGTCTCGGTGTGTAGCAAACAATTCCCTTTGACTCTAGAAACATTTCTTTCCCTGTGTCCCATAGGCTCAAGAGGGGCACACAGATGCCACTGTGGGCAGACTTGGCTGCTCTGTGCAACTCCTGTTTCAGAGAGGGGAGTCCACATGGTCATGACCCACCCGCCCTCCGAGCACCCATGGCCTTGGCAAGGGGATTTACTGGGGAGGCTCTAACCCAACACCCTTGAGAGTTCTATCAGGTGTGTCCTTTCCATCATTTTCAAAATGTCCCAGAGGCAGGACTTGACTCAAAGCAATAGGGTCTTTTGGAGCCTGCAGAACTCAGTAACTGGTAGGATGAGAACTCTTTTGAGAATTTCCAGGGAGCTGAGGATGCCTAGTACCTTGCGGCTGGTAAGGAGGTGGCAGGTCCTGCCACACCCACCGGGCAGCTCTGCATCTTAGACACTGGGATCCTGTTCCTCTCCCTAGAGGCTCCAGGCAGAGGACCTCACACAGCAAGCTCCTGGACAGGCAAGTATGCTCTGTCCCTGCAGAAGGTGACTCTCTTCCACCACCTAGAGGCATCAGTTGCCCTGACCTGAAGAAGCTTTCTGCCACCAGATGGCACCAAACAGTCCACAGAGATTAGAGTAGCACCAGGAAGTCCCTGAAACTAAATCAGCATTGGAAACATGGCCAGGCTACAGACGAAATCTAAAAAAAGCGACAGTCTGCTAAAATTGAAAATTTGTGTAGTCTCCTAACATAATGGCCATATTGTCCAGGACATAAGTGAACATTATTTATACCAAGAACTGTGAAAAGACAACCAACTCATGCAAACACACACATAAATCAGACACTGGAATTGTCTGGTAAAGATTAGGCAACTTTCATAAAAGTGATTCAACAAGCAATCACAAATTCTCTTGAAACAAATGAAGAGCAATGGAATGACAGAGAAACCCAGACGTACCACTGAAGGTGAGAGGCCCAGCCAGCTTCATCAGAGCAATGTCGTGGCCCAGCCTCTTTGGCTTGTACTTGCTGTGGTAGATGATCTTTTCCACCAAATGGGAGGGCTCTGGACTGTCCAGCAGAGAAACTAGACCCACTTGGATGGTCCATGACTTGGGGAGGTATAGGCTGAAATGAACAGACCCAGAGGAGAAGCACAGGAAAAACCCAATCATGCTACCCATTGATCTCAGTGTCCTGAGGGCCCAGGAGATGTGGGAGATGTCATCAAGCAAGAGTTGGTCTAGCACCCTGCTCATTTGTGCCTGGCATCTGACCACGCTCTTATGCCCTGCAGAAATCAGGCCCGCAGCCTGGGTATATCCTAGATGGGCCTCACTCTGCACCACTGAGGACTTCTCTGCATTTGAGAACTAGTCTCGGCTTTGCTTACTGCAAGGGACCTATCAGGGGCTAGTCTTCATCCCACAGCAACCAAAGCAGGAGGTAAAAATAGCAGGAGATTAGTCGTTGCGTTGGGAAATCTTTTCTGTGGTTTTCTTGCCCTCTAGACTCCTGAGAGAAACTGCTCTGGGGCACTCGGTGTCCTGCACCCTGTCCCCACCTCGTGCTGCACTGTCTCACGTGGCAGTTATAACACAGTCTGTGGATGGAATTAGCTCCTCGAAGCTCTAGGGCCTTTATCCAGGGGCTCTCCTTCTGCTGGGCTTCCTTCCCTTTCTTCCTTTCCTGCGTGAGCTGCAGGTCTGCAACTCCTCAAATGAGCCTGAGTGGCCAGTCCCTCCCAGTCAGTGATGGTCGGTCCTTGGTGGGGAGGACAGGAACCCTCGACCTGGACAAGGCTTCTTGGTGACTGGTCTGTCTGCTCACCACCCAGCTCAGCCCACCCCACCTGACCCAGGACAGAACAGAGGTCAGGGGAGACCAGGAGGCCAGGCCACTCACTCGTAGACACAGTGTGCAGCAGTGACGATCCACAGGGGGGTGATGACGGAGCCCCCACACAAGTGGTACCCCTGGAACTGAAGGCTGACCTGCCAGGGCCACTGTGCCGGCGAGGACACGTTTCCACCCACGATGCGTGGGCTGTGTCCTGTTCTCAGACCACAGACTGTGGAGGGAGAGAGGGGGCTGGGGAGACCCACAGGCTTTTCTGGGGCAAACGGAGTTGCCGCTCAGACTTGCTCCTCCCAACATTGTTGCCACACCTAGAGCTCACAGAGGTCCTCAGATGAGCACTGGGAGGAGGACCCTATCAGACCCCAGCAAGGGGAACTCTGCCTTCTGCCAGGAGCCAGCGGCAGCTCCCCTGGGCCTAGGCAACCCGTGTGTCCTCAAGGGGGGAGCGGCAGTGAGCCAGGCTCTCAGGATGTACACAGGGACCTAGGCCTGTCCACTGCTAAGAAGTCACCTGGAACTGTCTCCACACTTGACAGGTGAGCCTGGCCCTGGCCCCTCCTCCAGGATGGAGGGACACAGAGTTCCCACCTGGCACCTGGGAAGGAGGGCTTCAGAGCCGTCGTGGAAGGGGAAGGAGGAGGATGGAACATTGCAAGCCCTGACTTCCGTTTGGTCCTCTGCCATCTGAAGCTCTTACCTGTGCATTTCAAGGTAACTGCATGACCCGAGGCACAGCCCTCCCTGAAATGGAAAAAATGGCAGGCTTTGAGATGTATGTCTGAGGCATATGAAATGGGCATCTTTTTTACATTTTTAACTTAGTCTTGATGTAAAAGAAAACCAGGCCATGTGCGGTGGCCCACCCTGTAATTCCAGCAACTCGAGAGGCTGAGGCAGGAGGATCACAAGTTCAAGGCCAGCCTCAGCAACTTAGCAAGGCCCAAAGCAATTTAGTGAAATTCTGTCTCAAAATAAAAAATAAACAGGCCTGGGAGTATGGCTCAGTGGTTAAGTGCCCCTGGGTTCAGTCTCCGAAATGAAAGAAAGAAAAATCAACTCTATTTGCCTTACTCTTGAGTTAAATTTTGGTGTGTTTTAAAGAAAAAGCAAACCAGGGAGCAAGACTGCACACCTCCTCTAACCCTGGAGCATCGTGAAGCTGTCCCTGTGCTACAGTGTCCAAGTCTCGCGTGGCTCTGAGGACACACAGACCATCTGCACATGCCTGGTGGCATTGTGGGTCTATACCCCCAGTGTTTTCCACACCCTGCCTGGCCCTTGGGGACACAGAGGGCCCCCAGGGACAGCACTCCTGGCCGTCCAGGACTCTTTCAGCCTGGGGTCACACGCCTTAGTCAGGACTCCTCCCTGGAGCAGTGAGACGCTCTGGAAGAAGACAGGCCCCACAGGCCCCACAGGCCCCCACTGGTGGGGACCAGGAATCTGCTTTCTCATAATGAGGGGAAAGGGGAGCCCGAGACCTTGGCAACTTTTCTGCCTTTAGAGCCCCAGCCTCACCGTACAAGAGAAGCTAGCGTCACAAGGCTGTGGACATGGGACGTGAGGGAGGCCCTAGGTGCTGCTCACCCCAGGGTGGACAGGGGAGAGGTCTGTTTTCAGACAGAGGACATCCAGCCCAGGGGGTGGTCCCAGGCGTCAGGAGGAGAGGGTGGATCAGAACACCCGGCTGCGGCTTCCCCTCACCGTCCAACCTGGGACAGCCGGCAACCCCCTCACCTGCAGGTGACCACATGTTGCTAAGGACACCGGGTTTTCCTTCCCCGTGGGGAAGCACGCAAAGTAGGTGAGGGTGTTGAGGGACTTCGTAAGCAAGTTGCTTTCTTGATTTCTTATTTCCTACCTTTCTTCCTGTTTCCATTTCCCAAACAGCTGGAGTCCCTGCTGGTGACAGGCACAGCACTGCCTCGGTCACACAGGTCACTCCCCGACTGCATTTCCTTCCTTTCTCTGTTGGGCCGTACTGGCTCCTACACCCCGCTGCCGCACCTGCCCAGCCTGAGCACCGCGGCCACCCTGCAGACTCACTCCCGGAGCTGAGCCCAGCTTCACAAGCCAGACGAGGACTCAGCACCAGCGTGGGCCACCTACCTCACGTACACCGAGTGGTGTAGCAGGGTCACCTTGTCATCCGGCAAGAGGTGATTGATGGACACAAAGTGCCCCCGGAACTGCTCCTCCAGAGCGCCCACCGGGAGGCTGTCTGAGCTCACGTAGCTGCGAGCACATCAGAGACACAGACTCAGCAGGTTACAGGGGCTGAATTCTTCCCTCCACCAGCTCAGGGCTACGGGGAGGGGGCGGGGGGCTTCGTTGTGTCCACCCCACACTGTCGGAAACTTCCTTTTGCTGGTAAAATAAACTGCACACACCTTAGAAGGCCCCACAGACCCGGCCCAGGCCCTGCCCTCCTACCCTGGTCCAGCCACCAGAGGAAGGACGGCTTCCTGACACACCGTGTGGTCCCACCTCTGTCTGAAATGGCCTGTGCTTGGCCAGTCACAGGGGGGCGGGGGCAGAGCCAGGTGTGGCCTTGCCAGGGGACCAACATGGGGCTGTCTGCTCAGAGCTGGCTGGGTTCCCTGCAGAGAGGGAGAGCAGTGACTCAGGGGCCCCAGGACCAAGAAAATGTGAGAGACATCAGAAGCAGGTGTCCTGGCAGGGACAGGAAAGGGGTGAGACAGAAAAGTCAGGCTGAGGGGGCTCAGGGCAGAGCAGCTGCCTAGTGCACAAGGCCCAGCACTGCAGGAGGGAGGGAGGGAGGGAGGGAGGGGGGAGAGGGAGGGGATGGAGGGAAGAAGTGAAGGAGGGAGGGGGAAGAAAGAAAGGAAGAGGAGAGAGTTCAAGCATCTGAAGAGTCCCAGAGGAAAGTTGGTCTAGGGAATGAACCAGGTATGGGACAGGGGGCTGCTCGCTCTGCACTCTGCACACAGCAGCTCAGCCGGCAGGATGTCACACAGAGCAGGGAGTGACATGTCAGGAGGGCACACAGTTCAGTCAAGCCTGAGTCTGAGGAACACGTCCTGGAGCCTGCGTCCGTGACCTTGGCAGCCCTCCCAGGAGTGCTCAGACCACGGCAAGGGCAGAAGGCCCTGGCACCAAGGAGCATGCTATGGCTGGTCCCAAGAGAGCCTGAGTGCACAGGCAGCTTGATGGCGGGGACCTGTGACCTGCCGAGGGCCTCCAGGTGCCACAACTGGGGCCCACAATGGTTCAAAGCAGCAGCCACAGCAGGAGTCTCACAGCAGGCTGCTGGTGCCAGCCCCCTCCAGGCCTGAAGGCCACTCCCACAGCCCCCTGGAGCAGGACCACGCTGCCCCTGCCCTCAGGGAGGAAACCAGTCATGGGCGATGGAACCTGAGCTCTCTGGCTTGACGGGTCTGTTTATGTCTTTTGTTTATCACAAACATCTGCCATAGGATGTGGTAGAGCCGAGGCTCAAAGAAAGGTTTTCAAAGAGAAATAGGAAGAAGCGAGAATGCAGAAGTGAATCTGAGCAATGGAGGCGACAGATGGGCAGGACAGAGGGCAGGGAGCGTGGGGTGGGAGACACCATACAGGCGTGATCAGGGCTGCACGGGGAGGGAGGGGGCCGGGCTTCTTGGGGAGTGGGGGACAGTCTGGGGGGAGGAAGCAGGAAGAGGGGGGCTAAAGCAGGAAGACGCAGTAGCGGGAGCAGAAACCGCTCCAGGAAGCTCTCCAGCTGCACGCGGGAGCATGTGTGGGGGGAGGGGGGTGAACTTGTCCCCGCGGGTCTCTGAGCGTAGAGCCCGCGTAACTCTCCAAGGCAGCTGCGACTGTAGCAGTGCTAGGATGGCACGGGGTGTGAAACCAGGACTCTGTGGAAGGTCGGAGCTGCGAGGCTTGGAGGCCCCCGTTTCCCGAGGTGCAAACAGGGCTGCAGCCCCCGCTGACCAGAGCCGACCCTGCCCAGTCCCTAAGAGGAGCGGGAACCCAGGAGCTGCCCCTGCACACGGGGAACCCGAGTGAAGGGCAGTGAGGCACCAGGGCGGGCAGCAGCCATGAGGAGTCACAAGGAGGGCGGCCGTGTCGGGCCGAGGTGTGCCCCAGCGCACCAGCCCCAGACGCAAGCTGACCACGAAGCAGAGGATCCCCTGCCCGTCTTTCTTCTGCCTGTGGATAAACAGTGTCTCGACCCCTGTACCTCACACCTCTGGCTTTTTAAGAGTTGAGAGCTGCAGGGTTCTTGGGAAGAACACACAGACACTGAGGTGGCCACCAGGAGCAAGGAGGCCGTGTCCACCTCTGCCACCGGCTGTGGAGTGGGGAGCCAGAGCCATCCTTTTTCAACTCCAAAGCGCTTGTTGCAAGCATCCAGGGTCCTGGCCTGACCCTGAGGACCCCACACGTGGTTTCCTGGGCGACTTCAGCGAGTCACTTGGGCTGTCTGGGCTGCTCCTCTAGAGATGCTGGCCCACAGCTAAGCAGAAGGGGCTCAGCTACCTGCGGTGACCTTCACTCTCGCTGCCTGGCCTGGGGTGGACACGCTCCTGAACTTACCTGGGGAACCCTAGCTGGGCACAGGCGACGTTTGCATAGTGTCCTTTCCAGCCGTCGGAGCACAGGGTCCTCCACGAAGCAGCTGTGAACACCTGCAGCACCGCGTTCTGACCGCTCACCCGGACTGGCCGTGGGGGAGGAAGGTCTGTGAGCGGCCATGCAGGCTGAGGCCTGGGCAGAGATGGCTCTAAGGCCAGCTCCAGCCCTCCACATCTGGCCGGCGGCTCACCCACAGCTGCCGCCCCCACAGAGCAGGGGCAGCCTTACTGTCGGCACCGAGGCCTCCTGGAGGCCTGGTCTCTCTGCTCCTGTAGCCTCCCCAGCTCCTCAGCCCTCCCTGGTCTCCCAACATCTCCAGGGCCTAGTGATAGCTAAATCCCGGCTGAGGATGGGCATGACCATGACTGAGGGAAGGCCTCAGGTGGGAGGGTCCGAGCTGGTCCTGCCGACCCCCTCCTGTTCCTGCAGTGAGCAGGCAGCACCTTACCACACCGAAATTCATCCTCCCCATCTCTGCAGTCAGAGACCCCGTCACATCGAGCTGTCAGTTCAATACACTTAAAGGAGGAGCGGCATCTGTACTTCCCAGAGCAGTCGAAGTGGACTGAGGAAAGGGAAGAGGGCAGGAATGTTAGCAAGCAGCTCTGTCAGTGCACCGCACTATCAACTGTCCACCTGCCACGTGGCGCTGACTAGCCCATTAATAATGAAACCTGTCTTGAAACTGCATCCTCCTCTGTGGCCTATTTCCTCCAGACCAGTTTTTGTGCTGAATTCCAGAGGGAGGGGCTGCACCCCACTTTGTCTTACTATGTGGCCAGGCCTTGGAAGCACAACTAAACATGAATTTAGACTCTGGAGGGTTCAAGTTCAAAGAAAACCACCTGGCAATGGGCCAGCTAAGCCGGTAGCCCTGACAGAACTGCTGGGCCTCCCGGTTTTCTCTTAACTCTGGGCTGGGAGTGGATGGACTGTGGACCACGCGACCGAGCAGGTGGCATTGTAAACTGGTCTGTGATTCAGTCGTTTGAAGGAGAAGCTGAGAAATCGTTCCCTCCTACATACCCTTTCTCCAACGACCCACTTTCTCAAAAGCCACACGCACCTCTCTGTGAAAGTATCTGGAGAACCTGGCGTGGCCTGAATGCCCCCTTTGTCCCTCCCGCCCCCAGGGATTGTTTCATCAGCTGCCTCTGGACACTCCTCCCTGGCCGGCCCCTTGGTGACAAAGCTCCAAGCGTGGCCAACAGCTCCTGCGAGCCCCACCAGGCTTGGCATTCATGCAGGTAACCAGAGCCCCCAGTCAGCAAACCAAAGAGACAGCAGCGCCCAGTAGCTACGGCTGAGGGCAGCAAGACCCTGGAGGGAGGAAGCACATGAAAGTGTAAGTGCTAGAAGGAGCATGGAGAGCCTGCTGGATAACGGACGGTACTCACTGCCCAGGCCAACGGCCAGCGCCAGGATCAACGCGATGATCCCCACGACGATGATTGGAACAAACTTCAAGGGCAGCAGAGACAAGATCTGGGCTGCCACCGCGTCTGCATCTGAAAACCAAGGGGGGCACAGAGCACCCGAGCAACAAAACTCAGAGTTTAGCCACTCATCCCCCCAGTGCAAAAGGCACCCCCAAGAAGGTGGCTTAATTAGAGAATAGGCCACATTCTCTAGAAGTTCAGTGCTCCCCGGTCCCACTCCAGCTAGTCTGTCCATCCTGGACTGAAAGATGGAGTGAGGGTTAAATGGTGGACCAAGAAGGACAGGTTGACCTCCGCACCCCCAGGCCTCTGAATGCACCCTTATTTGAGTGTTTTATGTAGCAGTCAACTCAAGATGCTGCCCAGGGGGTGGGCCTGACCCAATGTGACTGAAGTCCTACTAATGGGCAAGTCAGACACTGAGACAGACACACATAGAGGAGGATGGCAGGGAGGGACACAGGGAGCAGCTGGGGCAGAGGACAGCATGATGTGCCCGGAAGTCAAGGAATGCAGGAGGTTGCCGGAAGTGGCCAGAAGCTGGGAGCGGCAAGGGAGGGCCCAACAGGTTCCCAAGGAGGCACCCTGCTGCTGTCCTGGGTTGGCCCCCAGAAGGGAGACAATGAATTCAGGCTATTTTAAGTCACCCAGGTTTTGGTCCTTGGGTTCCATAGCCCCAGGACACTGGTTCAGAGGGAGAAGGAGCCCCAGGTCCCAAGGATGTGTCTCTATAGAAGAGGACAATGTGTAAATCCTAGACAGGGTCCTTGAGGCAGACTCCCAGAGAGTCCCCAAGGCAGGACAGGGACACACTTTTCCATGTTCTTGCACAGACACCGACATCCTCTGTTCTTGATCGTCTCTCCAAGGATGTGTGTGGAGCAAGTGGCCTTGGGAAACAGAGACAGCATGTCCCTCAGGGCAAGGACCGGTTTGCTCACTGCCCAGTTTGATAAATTAAATGTCTTTCTCCAGAGCAAAGTTCACACAGTTCAGCTTGCAGCCCGTTACAAATATTAGGGTGCCCTTAACTACAGGTCCTCCAGCTGTGACACAAACCTCCTGCATGCGCAGTATACACCTGGCTGCTCCCCAACTCTGGAGCCGAGAGTGGTGACCGGAGCAGCAGGCACAGACTGGATGCTCAAGCCACCCGCTGTGCTGAGTCATGTGTCCCTGTCTCCAACACAGGACTCTCTTGTCTCTGTGGCAGGCCAACCTGTTAGCTTGTGAGAGGGTGAAACTTCAGACCCTTCACAGGTCTTGCCCACGGAACCAGGCAGATTTGGTGGAAAAGTAAATGTAAAGAGCACTGAGATACCCAGAAGTGCCCGCCTCTCGGGGACACCAAGAGTATTTCCACTGTCGCTCCTCCTATCAGGAAGAGCAGGTCATTCCACACAAATTATCTCATAGCTCTGCTGATGTCATGTTCATTAACAACGAGGAAGGAAGGAACCCCAAGGGGAAGAGAGCCTGTGGAAGATCACGCCCTGCCCGGCGGGGTGGGGGGAGACTCGCACCTGCCCCCTTCTCCTAGTCTTGGAGACGCGGAATGGGGAACTTGCCCAGGGGAGACCTGGACAGACCTCCCTGCCTGCATCGGGAACCACAGCTTCACCCCCAGCAACAGAGTGTGATTAAAAATGGTCAGTATCACCTCAGGCAGCTGAAGACAGAATTCAAAGACAAAAATGGTAAAAAATAAATAAAATGGGAGGGAAAAGAGGAAGCAGAAGGAAAGGGTAAGAGAGGACAGAGAAGTAGAAGGCAGATGATCATCACCCACTCAGAGACTAGAAATGAACAGCAAGTGCTCTGTATTTGGCCTGAATGGGCTGAGCAGCTTGCTCTTGGCTGTATCCCCAGTGTCTTGAACAGCAGCATTTGATAAATACTCACTAGATGTGTGTATGGAAGGATGGATGGATGGATGGATGGATGGATGGATGGATGGATGGATGGACCCATTCACAATAGCCTCAAAAATATATATATACTTGGGGATCAATCTAACAAAAAAGGTGAAAGACCTCTACAATGAAAACTACAGAACACTAAAGAAAGAAATTAAAGAAGATCCCCCATGCTCTTGGATAGGCAGAATTAATATAGTTAAAATGGCCATCCTACCAAAACTGTGTATAGATTTCATGCAATCCCTATTAAAATCCCAATGACAGTCTTCATACATCTAGAAAATGCAATCATGAAATTCATTAGGAAAAATAAGAGGCCCAGAATAGGCAAAGCAATTCTCAGCAAGAAAAGTAAAGCAGGAGGTATCACAATCCCATAACCTGAACTATACTACAGAGCAATAGTAACAAAAACAGCATGGTATTGACACCAAAACATACACGCAGACCAATAGTACAGAATAAAAGACAGAGACAAACCCACATAAAAATGGTTATCTCATAGTAGACCAAGGCACCAAAAACATACATTGGAAATAAGATAGCTTCTTCAAAAATGGTGCTGGGAAAACTGGAAATCCATATGTAGCAAAGTGAAATTAAACCCTATCTCTCACCCTGAACAAAATCAATTCAAAGTGGATCAAAGACTTAGGCACTAGAACAGAGACCCTGTGCCTAACAGAAGAAAAAGTAGGCCAAATCTTCACCCTGTCGGCTTAGGACCTGACGTACTGAACAAGACTCTTAAGGTACAAGAAGTAAAATCAAGAATCAATAAATAGAATGGATTCAAGCTAAAAAGCTTCTTCTTAGCAAAGGAAACCATAAGATAGTGAGAGAACCTACAGATTGGGAGAAAATCTTTACCACATGCACCTCTGATAGAGCACTAAGCTCCAGAATATATAAAGAACAAAAAAACTTAACACCAAAAAAACAGGTAACCCAATCAATAAACAGGCCAAGGAATTGAACTTCTTCTCAGAAGATGATATATAATCAATCAACAAATATATGAAAAATGCTCAACATCTCTAGCAATTAGAGAAATGCAAATCAAAAGTACTCTAAGATTCCATCTCACTCCAGTCAGAATGGCAATTATCAAGAATACATGCAATAATAAGTGTTGGCGAGGATGTGGGGAAAAGGTTCACTCATACACTGCTGGTGGGACTGAAAATTGGGGCAACCACTATGGAAAGCAGTATGGAGAGTCCTCAAAGAACTTGGAATGGAACCACCATTTGACCCAACTATCTCACTCCTTGGTTCATACCCACAGGACTTAAAATGAGCATACTACAGTGACTCAGCCACATCAATGTTTATATCAGCTCAGTTCACAGTAGCTAAACTATGGAACCAACCCAGGTGACCTTCAACAGATGAATGGATAAAGAAAATGTGCTATATACAAAATTAAATATTACTCAGCCTTAAAGAAGAATGAAATTATGGCATTTGCAGATAAGCGGATGGGACTAGAGAACATCATGCTAAGTGAAATAAGCCAATCCCCCAAACCAAAAGCTGAATGTTTTCTCTGATAAGCAGATGCTGATCCATAGTGGGGCAGGGGGAGAGGGTAGGGAAGAGTGAAGGAACTTTGGCTTGTGCAGAGGCGAGGGAGGGGAGGGGTGGCAGTGGGGAGGGGAAGGACCGTAGAATGAGACAGACTTTGTTACCCTACGTACCTGTGAGAGTGCACTACTGGAGTGACTGACCATGCACAGCCAGATGATGCAGAAGATGTATTCCTTTGTGTACAGAATGTCAAAATGCATTCTGCTGTCCTGTATAACTAATTAGAACAATTTTTTTTTAATTCAAAAAAAAAAAAGAATGAATGGGTGGATGGATGGATGGATGAGTGGGTGGGTGAGTAGGCGGGTGAAAGGATGAGTGGGTGGTTGGGTGGATGGGTGGGTGGATGGGTAGGTGGGTGAATGGGTGGATGGGTAGGTGAATGACATGTTGATAATGGAAACAGTTTTAACATAATATGGGAGGCCAATCCCTTTCAGGGTGACACATCTAAGACTTTGAGCCAGCAGGGGTTTCTCTTTACCCTCATCCCACCCCCAGAAGGAGTCTGCTCCAAATCCACTAATCTCTACTGAGACGTCCACCATTAAAAGAGTCTGCGGGAACCCCAAGTGTGACCTGCTGTGTGTATGTTTAGATTTAGAAATTGACTCCCAGTGTGGGATCAAGACGGACACCGAGGGGGAGACTGCATCAGCCCCCGTTTGCCGGCAGTTCCTCTGCCTCCAAGGTGCTGTGGAGCTGCGGCAGCCCCACCCCACCCTGTATGTCTTGGGGACAGGACCAGAGTGAAAAGCGAAAAGCCTCTCTGTAAGAGGGGTGCAAATGGTCTCTGGGAAGGAGCCCCTGGCCGCTAGCAGAGTCACAGCCTCCACACTGTGCTCAGCAGGGAGCGCGGCATGCTGGCCTCCCTGTGCTGAAAGGGAGAGAGGTGCCCGAAAGCTGGTGAACTGGTGCCCCAGCACTTCTCCTCCTAGGAATCCATCCAACCTGTCATCCTAGACCCACGCAAAGTCTGCCTGTAAGACCCCGAGAAGAGCACCATGTATCATATTGGCACATGGGGACAGCCTGAGCCTCCGACAGAGGGAGACCGGAATGAGAAATGGCAAAAGCCTGTGGAAGAACACGCAGAGAAACTTCAGTGACACAGAAAAGGGTCGGCGGACTTCCGTCAGGACCAAATGCAGACACTTCAAACTTGATGGGCATTTGCCTGACCTACCACTCACTCCCCTGTCCTGGCTGGAAGGCAGTCAGAGGCAGAGTTCTCTGGAAGGACGGGGGGGCCACGGCTACTCAGGACTTCCTGGAGGCCTACGAGGCTTTCTGGCCAGGATCTGACCCCTCCAGGATTGACCAGGACAGCTGTGGAGCCCCCGTCTCCAAAAGCCTCCCACCAGAGAGGTAGCACCTGCCTTCAGCAAGTCAGCAAGCGGCTGAAGGAGACAGTCCCTCCTGGTCCCCCTTCTCTCTGGGACCCAGCAGCCCTGGGAAAGGCAGGCAGCCGGCTGTCAGACATGCGGACGTAAGGAGACACTCTCGGCCATAGTCGTCGTCTTTCTGTGAGCACCACAGCCTCTCACCTGGTTCCACCTACCTGGCACAACAGGACTTATTTTCAGATCATCAAGGCCAAAGAGTGACCGGAAGGAGAAGGGGGCCTCGGTGGCCGGTGGGTCGTTTTCCCCCATGGTGACTATCTCAGGGCCTCTGAGGTTTGGCTCCACCTCCACCTCCACCTCCTTTAGCCGAGGAGAACAGAGACATCATTCCCCATCCGTAGCTCCACTGTCAGAAGTATCTTTGTCACATTTCAAATCTGATCCTGATCAATTCCACATCTGGGTTTTTGTTGTTGTTGTTTATTCTGAACCACAGAGAAGCTATTTTTGCCACAGAGTTGAAAAAAAGAGCAAAAAAACTTGATTCCCGTACGACAGTGGCTTTCCCATTGCCCTTTTAACCTGCTTGGCATCAATCGAAAGGCTCTTGGGGAGAGATGTCCCTTGGTCATTAGCAGTCCCGTGTTGTTGTGCCTCAGCTGAGAAGCTACTTTCAAAGTCGTTCTGACTGTCTTCACCCACCCCCATGAGCAGACCCCTGGGCCCTGTAATACTCCTGCCACAAACAACAAGTTTCCACACTCACATAAGGTCCCGTCCCCAAAGGTAGCCAGCACCAGGGAAGGGCGCCCGCCACCGTGTTAACAGCAGCGCGGTGTCCCCAAACACGCCCTTTCCTGGCTCCCACAGATGTGACCTAGTTAAGGATGGAAGATGGGAGCATTCAGGGCCTCTGGGGCCCAGTGCTCCCCACAGAGCCAGGCAGCCAGGAGCTCTGGCCTCGGTCACACCTGGGCAGCCACACCTGCTCTTCTCCAAGAGAACGCCGTGGCAAGGACAGGAGGGCTGAGGCCCATCTCAGTCACTCCCCCACTCCAGGAGACCCCAGGAGCCAGGAAACGGCAGAGCACACAGGTAGATAAATGGCAGGCCTCTCTCCCGGTGTCGGGTGTGGGCTGGCGAGGAACCTTGCCCCAGAGCTGAGACCGGAGAACCCACAGGCTTGCAAACGGGGGCCTTTGATCTGCCCTCCTTTCCTTCCTCGCTGCCCGTTCTGAAATTCCAAAGGGAGCCACCGGCCACGCACAGCGAGCCTGGCTCCCCAGGGTCTGACACACGCTCAGAGTTGCGGGCCAAACAACTTCCCTGCATCGCGGGAGCGACTTGGAGGAATATCTTAGAAAATTAACCAGCTCGGCTTTGCTTCTTGCTGATGCTTCTGCTCATTATCAGCCTGTGGCAGATGAGGCAGTTTATCTTCCTAAAGGGGTAAGAATTCATGGAAAAACTCCCTCCGAGGGCGGCACCGCCCCTCCCCGGCCCTCACTCACCATTTCTGGAGCCGCCATCATTCAAAGCAGAAATGATTTCCTTTTTCATTATAGAAACAGGCACAGTGGTGAACAGCCGGCCAAGGGGGAGTCCAGCCCGAGGAGGCTTTCACCAGGTCACTCAGCCTTGTCGCCTTGGTCATCGTGGCCAATGGCACTGCTGCCGTGCCTGTGTAACCCAACCTGGACGTGGCTATCAGGTAGCCCTGGCTGGTGTGGTCAGAGAGGGGAGGGGCACGTGTGAGGGAGCCGCTCGAGGGGCTTTGCACAAGAGGGCTCTGCAGGGCACCACTTGCTGGAAAGGCCTCAAGAGCCCTGCCCAGAGCTGCTCGGGCAGCCAGGAGAGGGGCAGGAAGCCTCTGGAGGGGATTCTATCCCTCCGGGCTACTGAGCGTGGTTCGGTCCTGCCCCTGCCCATGGACAAAAGACAGGCTGAGCGTGCTCACTGCAGCAAGCTCTGTGTAGCCATGCTGGGCTCTGATCCATAGGGACACTGTGTCCCCAGAGGCTTCTGCATGCAGATGCTCCAGCAGGAGAGGACACCCTGTGTGGGAGGAGGGGCGAGAGGAGGCCCATCCAGGTGGAGCGGCAGGGTGGGAGTCCTGCCTTCCCACGTTCATTCACGCAGACTGGCTATGTCCACCAGGAGCCAGGCGTCTGGAGCAGACAGCAGGACACTGAGCCCTCGCCGGTGGCCTTAGATGATGAGAAGAGGAGGGGGAGAGGGTGGCTCAGGACCGGCTCTAGAAAGGAGGTGACAGGACAATGTGAGTCCTGAGGAGCAAGAGGAGAGCTGCTCCTCATGGGGTGACCATCAACTCAGAGCCCAGGGAGAGGACACACTGGAGAGTCCCAGGCCCCCAGAGAGGGCCCCAGGCTGGGAGAGAGAGGAGTTGGAGGCCTTGGGCGGCAAAGTTAGCCAGGCCAGCACACAGGCATGGAGGCCAGGACCTCAAAAAGGACTTCAGTTCGCTTTCTGTGTGATGGAAGCCACAGGGGACGTGAGCCAGTAGCCAGGTGGACAGGAGGGAAGCACAATGAGGGTGGGCACTCAGGCAGCTGCGGGAGGCTGCTGCAGAGTGACCCAAGGCTGTGACTTGGACCAGGGCTGATGGCGAACATGGTGGGAACCGTCAGGGTTGGGCTGGACAGGGAGGTAGAGGTGGCCGGGTTTGCCAAGGGCAATAGCCAAGAGCCGTTCTCAGCCAATCAGGGTTTAGTTCAGCCAGTTTTCCACCTCCCCGTCCCTGCCCACCCCCTGTCAAGGTTTTGGATTCACCGAGGTCCCCCAAGGTCAGGTTCCCTCCTTACCTCTTTCTAACCACTACAGTCCTGGGCAATCATTTGCCCCCGAGACTGGGACAGGAGAGTCTCTAGCTTTGACTGTGTGCTGCAGGTGGAGTATCTTAGAGGACAGTCTGGAACATTCTCCATTCACAGCCCCATACTTCTGGCACCATGGTGACTGCGATGGGGGCCCATATACACCAATGGGATCAAAAACCAAAGTGGGCAAAGGACACTGAAGAGACACACAGATAACCAAGAGCCACCATGAGCACACCTTAACAGCAGAGCCAGAGCAGGCCAACGCTCACCCCCGCTGCCCAGCGGGTCATGAGGGTGGCTGCACAGTACCTCCCCAAAAGGTCAGCTATAAACCAGTTCCATCAAGCTCAAAACAGCCCACCAGGAACAGAAGCAGCAGCCGGGGCTGGCCCACGGCCTCGTGAAGCAATGTTCCAGGGGCCTGGGGTGGAGCCTGAGAGCAGGTGTCCCCTGGGGAGTCTCCTGGGCACTCAAGGGAAGCGTTGGAACCATTGTGTTCAGCTTGTCACCTCTTCAGTGAGTCGGAGGAGACGCTGTCCATTGGGGTCTTCTCCTTTCTCTGTTGGAGACAGATTTCCTAGTTAAGAAGAAGGGACCGAGCGAGACAGGGCATTTCCCGGCTGGCACAAGTCAGTTATTCTTCTAAGAGACGAGTAGAGGGGTTGGGGGTGTGGCTCAAGTGGTAGTGCGCTCGCCTGGCACGCGTGGGGCACTGGGCTTGATCCTCAGCACCACATAAAAATAAAATAAAGATATTGTGTCCAACTACAACTAAAAAAATATTTTTAAAAAAAGAGACGAGTAGAAAAATTTTAACGTTTCTAACATTTCAGGAAGGGCTTATGGTTTTGAAGAGAAAAGCATAGTTGGATAGAGGGTACTTATCAGCCCACGCATCTTTTTCCTCCTCTGAGTAACAAGCTTTGTCTATTTCAACACTTTCAAGATCAAATCATTTGGTTATACAATTATTCATCTCTCAGAGACAGGACAACAGACCTGGAGGACATTACGCTAGTAACACACCAGACAAAGATGGGACTCATGGTCTCACTTGTGTGGGATCTACAAAAAAAGAAAAGCAAAAGCTTGAATTCATAGAGAAAGGCTGTGGTTCCCAGGGCAGCGTGGGGTGAGGGGAGGGAGCTGTGGACCGACAGACCCAGAGACGCCCTTATGGGAAGGAGGAGCCGGCCAGGAGGAGGGTCCAGCACAGCACCACAGCTACTACTGCCTGGTCCCACCTTGTGTTGGATGCAGGGAGCTATCCAAAGATTTAGGTGCCGTTGCCACACACACAACAGGAAGATGACCATGTGAGATGCTCATCCGCTTGAGTAGAGTAACCATTTCACTGTGTATTTCAAAGCATCAATGCAGCTGGGAACCTGGCTCCTGGGTGTAGCATGGACTTAGAATGCACCTGGCCCTGGGCTTGATCACCAGCATCAAAAATAAAACAGAAAAAGAAAAAAAAAAGACTGTTAAAAAGCATATTATAAAAATATAATAAACTCACATTTAAAGGTGAAATGCCAAACCTTTTTCCTCTAAGCTGTGCACTATAATCACCTCTGTTCAGCATCTATGAGGGTCCAAACCTGTGCAATAAGGCCAAAAATTTTTTAAAAATGTAAAAAAGAGAAGAAAGGAAGGTAGAGAGGGAGGGAGGAGGGTGCTGGGGAGGGAGGGAAGAAGGAAGAGAGAAGTGTAAGATGAAAAGTCATAAGCACTGATATGAAAGAAAACTAGACTTACTCTCAGTCTCATTTTGTACATAAAATACATTTAAAATGCTAAAAATAAATTATTAGAAAGAACAAATCCAGAAGGACTCTTGGATATACAGTCCATGTAAAAATACTATAAAGTCAGTCAATGGCACATTGATTTATCAGCCACAAAGAGTATGAGCATGAACATTCTAAAGAGACGAGTGGCATCAAAAGTTCCCAAATACTAAGAATGATCTAGTAAACACCACAAGATCTCCATACAGAAAACTCTGTAACAAAGCTAAAAAAAAAAAAAATTAAAACCTGGCAACTCTAGGCCAAGAAATTTGACAATCCCATAAAATATTTCTTGAAAAGTAATTTAATAAAATAGAACCACAAAGGAGACTTGTATACCCGTGAAGTAAATTAAAATCTAAAACTTCCCAACAAAGAAAATTTTAGGCCCGATGACTTCACTGGTAAATCTTTTCAGCACTTAAGAAAGCAATGACACCAAGTGCAGGAGAACTGAGAGGGAGGCGCGTCCCTTGGCCTGACTGTCCCCTGGCCTCACCTTCTTCCCGCTCACCGTGGGGCAGCTGTGTCTGCTGAGCAGAGCCCCCTGTGGACGTGCCCACCTGGTCGGCCCGTCTGGTCGCCAGCTGGGTTTGTCTGGTGCTGTCTGGGTTGTCCCCCGTGCACACGAGGTCTTTACGTGGACACACGTTTTTATTCTCCCTGGTAGGACGCTCCAGGCAGCCCTGGTCATGTGGTGGATGCACCTTCACCTTTGTAAGAAACAGCCCAAATGCTCTCCTGAGTCGTGGGCACCTCGGATGCCTCGTCCTCTGGTTTCCACTCTTAATCTATATGTCACTCTCATCCTCTGACGGCTGACGATGCCCGATGGCGCGTCTTCTCTGTCAAATGTCTATTTTGATATTTAGCTATTTTTAAACTGGCTCGTTCTCATTGATATAATGCAACACGTTCCTATGGGTGATATTCAGTGTTTTCTGAACACAAGTCCTACATCAGGTATGTGTGTGCTGACATTTCCCCCAGTCTGCAGCTTGTCTTTATGGTGTCTTTCAATAAAGCCAAAAATAAAAAAATAAAAAATGTAAAAAAGAGAAGAAAGGAAGGGAGGGAGAGAGGGAGAAGGGTGATACAGAAGACAAGAGTAGAAGTTTGCGATTTTAATAAAGTCCCAATCATCACACTTTTTGTTTTAAAGTTTATTGTTTATGTCCTAAGAAAGCTTGGCAAACTCTAGCACATCAAAGTCCTTCTTTTAGAATGTTATGGTGTTAGATTTTACCTCTAAGTCCATCACAAATATGAGTGAACTTTGTGCGTGATGCAAAGCCAGGGTCAGGCTCAGCCCATGCCCACGGGCCCTTTCCCGGCACCATTTCCTGAAAGGCTACCCTTTCCCTATCAGGTGACATTGACTTTTGTTGAAAATCAGTGGGCCACACAGGTGGGTCTTTCTGCACCCCTCACCGACCAAATTTAGGTGAGACAGCAAGGACCTAAGACAGCCAAGACAATCTTGAAAAAAAAAAAAGTCAGAGAACTTAACCCTGTAGTAATAGAGCAGCATAGAATGAGTTCACATATGGGCCAATGGAAAAAGAGGACCAAAGAGAACCATAAACACTCTATTACACGGCCAGTCACGTGACTCACAGAAATATGTGCTGAGATTCACTGGGCAAGTGATGGTCTCACTAATGGGAAAATAACTAAACTTTATCCCGACCTCGCACCGTATAAGTTGCTTCACACAGATCGTAGAGCTAACTACAAATGGTAAAAGTAGTGAAGTTCCCGGCACAAAGCCCAGGAGACTACCTTCCTCAATGTGCACAGAAAGAAATTGTGTGAACGGGATGCAGAAGACACTAACTAGAGTTCCCACCAGTGGATAAGCAAAAGCAAACCTCAGAAGATCTGGATAGGAGCTTCCCCAAAGAGAATATTCTAACAGCCAGTAAGACTGTGACACGGTGGCCCACACGGTGTCCTCCAGGGAAACACAGGGACAAGCACGGTGAGAGGCCCACAGGGTTCCACCAGGATGTGGAAGGTGAAATGGCTAGTGGTGGCAAGGTGATCTAAGGTGCAGAGCACCCTTGTCCTCTGCTAGCTAGAGAGCAAATCGTCATCAACAGAGGTGAGTGACATCATGCTTACCTAACTAGATAGTACACAGCAATGATGGCAAATTAGGCACATCTGCAAGCAGTCATGTGGGTCAATCTCTTAAAAACCTGGCAAAGGAACTGGTCATAAAAGAGCAGATACTATAGGGTTCCATATACATGAGGCTCAAAAACAGGCCAGTTCTGTGCTAGAGAGCACAGTGGTTCCCTCTGCAGGGGAGGAGGAGATAGACGCGAGGTGGCTAGACGGGTCAAGGGGGCTTCTGAGGTTCTGGAAAGTTCTAGAACAATTTTTAAAATTAAAGTACAAATTGGTGAATACTAAAAGAACCAGAAAATTTTAGAGCCCGTAGGAACAATAGGTCCAGCATAGTTAAAGGTCTTGTTTGCACACGTGGAAATTGAGGCACAGGTGGCTAAGACCAGTGGGACCCAGGAGAGAACCTGGCCCCTGACTGGCGCTTCCCGGTCCTTCCTCCAGGCTCTCACATATCCGTGCTCCTGAATGCTTCCCAGGCACAGATGCACATCCCGTGCAGGACCCTGGAGGGCCTTCCAGACCAAACCCACCGTGGAAGCAGGTAGGGTGTCGCGCCTGCAGCCAGCGCCTGCAGCCAACACCCGCAGAGAGAAGGCTGAAGACCAATGATCGTGCAAACAGGATATTGGGTTGTGTCAGAAGACCAGAAAGGCTTGAGGTTTTTCTTCACAAGAAAAAGAGAGGCCTCCCCCTCTCCTCTCACTTTATCTGCTCGCGGCAGTGTGCAGGCGCTCTTGCACCACAGGCAGGAAGAGATGGCAGCGGGAGAGACTCAACTCTATGCTAAGGTCTCCAACAAGCTCAAGGGCCGCAGCACCCCCTCGCTCCTGGACCCCCTCCTGGCCATGGGCGTCCCAGCACACACCGCGTGAGTACTGTGGCTGCGGAACCCGGGAGCCCTGCTCTGGGCTGAGCCAACCCTCCTGCAGCCCCTGACACAGCCCTGGAGGGGCTTGTGGCACTGGCTTCCTGCTGAAGTGGCCGCCCTGCAGCGCAGGTGGTGTCTCAAGAGAAGGTCGTTCTCTGCTTTCTCTACACGAGATGATCTTGACCTTGAAAGACCAACGCTGCTGGCCGGCTCCTGGGGGACCCTGAAGTGTGTGCACATTAGAAGCCATGGGTTGCTATGGCTGCCCCCATTTCTGGGGGTTTGGAGGATCTTGGGTCCTCTGTGAGCCTCTAATGCCAGGACCTGCTGAGAACCATCAGAGAGTTTCCAAACTGCACAGGGAAACCATCCGTCCTCCAGGGAACATCTCCTGGATGTCAGTAATGAAACCGAATGGCTAAGAAATCACGGAAACAGCACCAGTGCTGCCCTGTTACCCAGGGAAGGGGTTCACACGTGGATACTCGAACCCTGGAGTCACCCTACTCAGAGGAAAGAAGTGATGCTGATAGTGCTGCAGCTCTCATAGCTGACCCGTGTCTCCCCTCTGGTCCTCTCCAGATTCTTATTCACAGGGAGAAATTGATCAGAAATATTCTAAGGTAACCTGGGGCTTGGGGAGGGGACAAGCTCTCTTCCACGGCAGAGCAACACCCGACACACTGGGGCAATATCTTTGAAGTTAGGCCCCTCTGTCTCCCCCCACATTAGGGCTTTGTAGTCAGCATGATGCCTGCGACAAACCAGGGGTCTGTGCGGTGGGGGTGGAGCAGGAGGCACCTGCTGCTCAGTGCTCCCTGTCCAGCTGCGGCTGTCGAGGACACCAACACCCAGGGCTTGAGCCAGCCCTTGATGCCCCTGGTGCCCACACTGTATTTACTGCCCAAGTGTGAACTCACTCTCAAAATCCCTCCTCGTTTTAACAATTAACGCGTGTCGGAGCTCTTAAGCCAGCTCACCCCAGCATAGGCTCTGCAGGTGGCCATGTCCCCACGGTGTGTACCGGAACAGCAGCAGCCCTGGGCAGCAGTGACCCAGGGTCCTCAGGGAGCCCAGCTGGACCTGGACCACATGCTGAATTACTGCAGTGGCCACATCCATCCTGTTCTATTCTGTTTGGTCCAGTTCAGCTAAATTCAACTGAACTCATCTCCCTCCGGGGTCACTGGCTGAACAAGGCACAGGAGGGCAGGGGGAGCTGTGATGGCCTCTGTGCTACAGGGAGGGGACGGGGGCTGTGGACAGCCTGCCCGGGCAGCTCAGCAGGAGGTGCTGCCCCAGAAGGAGGCACAGTGAGCCCAACCTTGGGGGATGGTGGGGTGCACTGCGTCTGCCAGGGAAGCACGCATCCAAGCCGAGGGCCCAGGCCAGCAACTCCAGCATCCACAGTGTGCTTCAGGAGGGGCAGAGGTCAGGCCCCGAGGGCATGGGCCTTGTCGCCCAGGGCTAGAGGTAGGGAGCCCTGGAAGGAGAGTCGTGGAGGATCCGAGAAGGTTGGACTGTCAAAAGCCACGCGGCAGCCCGGTAAAGGACAGAGACCGGGGCCTCAGGAAGACAGGCGCAGGGATGCTGGGGCCGACCACACCTGCTCCTCTGACCCTTTTCCAAAGTGGACAGCGTGGCTCTGAGCGCACCTGTGTTTACTCCTCTATAGGCTAAAAGCATTGGCGGCCACTGGGAGGAGGACAGCAGAGGAGGCGGCCGAGTGGTGAGTGGGGCCGGAGGTACAGAGGGTTTGGCTCAAAATGCCCTGTGGCCAGGGCCCCCTGGGCGGGAAGAGGTTGCTGGGGAAATGCTAAGTGGCCTCCCAGTTCACATCCCCAGCATAAGGGCACCGGAGAAGAGCCCCCTTTAAAATAGAGGAAGACCTTGGAACAGAGATTGTTTCACCTAAAAATGTGGCTTAGGGCAGGGGGTCTGCCTCTGGGGCAGAGTGCATGCTGGCCCTGTGTGAGCCCTGGATTCCATCCTCAGCACAAAAACACTTTCTACCTCATCTAAACTTGACAGTCACAGAAGAAAAAAAAAAATCCTGAGATTTGTTGAATAAATAGGGAGGAGCCATTTCTGCTAATATAAAAGAGAGGTCCCACACTGTCGAGCTACCTGGAGGTGGGGGCAATTGACTGGGGTCCGGGAATCCTCCTAAGGTGTGCCACCGTACACCTGGGGGGGAGCCCTGGGCTCCATCAGCTGCTCCACACTCCAAGTGGGCCCCTCGGTGAGCCACCCACAGCCATGGCCACGGGCCTGTTTTCTGCTCTGGAAACCTGGAGAGGGCTCCTTGGTCTCCCCCAGCCTGAATGGGCCCTGATGCCGTGCTCTACCCGAGGTGGGAAACCCCTCCTTCCTGATCTGCAGTCGCCCCAGTGAAAAGCAACAAGAAAAGCCAGGTCCCCTCAGCCGCAGCGCCCACCGCAGCACAGGATGGAGAGACTGACAGTGGGACCAGCGATCTCTGGGGAGCGCCCTCCTCCTCCTCCAAAACCCCAGAAGGGGAAAACAGGCAGCACCCCCACAGACAGGGAAACCCCAGAGCCCTCTGGGCTGGTCCAACCATAAAGCCAGGGACCAGAGTGGCACTAAACACCCAGCCCAAGGCTGGGAGGGGCTTACCTGCCAGTTAAGCCCAGGCAATAGACCGGGAGACCCCAGGGAGGAAGAGTGGATTCCTGAGGCTCAGCCAGGAATGCACCCGACCTCTCCCTAGGAATCGGGAGAGCAGAAAGTAAGATTCCATGAAAACAAAGGGTGTCAGGGTGTCAGGTGCTGTTGAGGGTCAGGGAAGGGGTCTTGTACCTGGCTCCTGGCTCTGTAGCTTGGGTGTCTGTCAACACTGGAAATGTGTACAGCTCTCACCAAATTTCACACTAAGCACGGCCCTAGAGACACACCAGGGCCTAGCGAGACATGCACAGAGGACTTTTTAAAAAGAAAACAACCCAGATGTCCATTTTTATGGAAATGGACAAGTGTGATCTCACACAGTACACAGGGACCCTGTGTGGAGCCATACCGACAGAGAGCCAGGGGTGCAGACAGTGAGGGGTGCACTCACCGACATGGCCACCCTGCAAAACCAGGCCTCCGAGTGGAAAGCCCCAGTGGCACAGTGATTTAAACAACAGCTTAGGATTTATGTAAACACAGCTGTGCTGTCTCTTCAGCTTGCTTAAATCCCCAGGAGGAAACAAAGCAGAGCCACCATCGGGGTTCACTCCAGAGAGGGAGGGAGGGAGGGGAGGGCGAGGCCAAGGGTCGTGGCCCCTCATCCATATATTCACATGAAGGAGAAACTATCTGCAAATAACTGAGGTCTTCCCCAGGATCTGTACACTGCTTTCTACACTAAGACTACGTCACATGCCCTGCCCTGAGCCACCAGAAATTCTTCAAAGCCATAATTTCCAGGGAATACATGCTAAGCAGATTCCCCATCATTTACCCAACTCCCCCTGCTTTCCTGTTATAAATCAGTATTTCACATGGGAATTTTGCCCCACGCTTTTTGCTTCTTCCCTGGCACAAATTTAAAGAAGTGCAGCTCAAGAGGCAGGCAATCCGAGGCTCTGCACTCGTGGAGAACCGCCGCACAGAGGTTGTGCAGATTCGCCCTGCGGCCTTGCTGCGCGATTGGCATGGCTGAGCACTGACTTTCACTCTCTGACAGCACTCAGAGAAACGATTCTGTGTTGTTTGCATTTCCATTTTTATGATTCATGACAATTGAACTCCTATTTTGGGGTTGTGTGTCACATTTCTTTGTATTTAAAGTAACTCTCAGAACAAGAAGACATATAACAGCCAGCTAAATGTGTCTAGTCTTACTTTTTGAGTGTGTGTGTGTGTGTGGCTTTGATTTTCACATTTAATCTGAAGTTTTTGAGAAAATGAAAATGCGTTTTTCCACAAAATTTTAATACCGCAGAGACAGATGCTCTGAGGTCATTTGAATGGGAGGCTCTATCTAGTCTTCCTGCCAGCTTCACCTTCCCCCTCTGGTGACACTGAGGAGAGCCTGTGACCAGCCAGGCCTGAGCCCACAGGGTGAGGCCCCTGCTGTGAGCTCCGGCTGCCCCTCACGGGACGCTGCCCCTGCTGTTGCCTGTCCTTGGTGGGGACGGCTCCTCCGTCACGAAGCTGGGTAAATGTGGCCTGTTCTCTGCTGTAGGCTTCGCTGTCACGGCAACGACCCTTCCCTCGACGACCCCATCCCCCAGGAGTACGCCCTCTTCCTCTGTCCTACGGGGCCCCTGCTGGAGAGGCTACAGGAGTTCTGGAGGGAGAGCAGGCGTCAGTGTGCCAAGAACCGGGCCCACGAGGTCTTCCCCCACGTGACGCTCTGCGACTTCTTCACGGTGAGTTGGCCGCGGTGCCTTGCACCCCGTGACCGTGGCCGCCATGGCAGCACTCTGGGGACGGGGGACAGGGGCTGGGACACAGCTGCTCTGTCTTAGTGAGGTGGTCCTGAAGGCAGTGTCCGTGGTTCCGTGAGTGGGGCGCCTGCTCTCCACCTGTCAGGGCCCCGTGCATGTTTCCTGCCTCTTTTCCGATTCTTCTTCCTCTCCCCAGGCAGAAGGAGGTGCTGCCCCCACGCCACCCCGTCTTTCTGTCTGTGAATCTAGTGGCATTTTCGTGTCCTGTTAGGTGTGGGCTGCACCTTCCCAGGCTGAGCCCCCCAGGGAAGGCCATGTACCCGGAGACCAGCACAGTGCCCAGGCCAGAGTCAGGGCTTCCTAAATATGTGGCAGATGGGCTGAGGAATGGGTGGCTGTCAACAAGCCACCAACGTCAAGCTCTCCCTGGCTCACAGCTCAGCCCTCTGATTTAGAAAAAGATCAAGAGTCATCATCACAGGGTACCGGGGAGGCGAGAGGGACCTGGGGGCTGCTAGAGAGAGAAGGAAGGCTGGGGAGAAACAGGGAGGGACAGGCAGCCACCTCCCCTGGTCACCACTTCCCCAGAGGAAGGGGCGATGGGCCCCGGTTCCCTGCAGGGGTACCTCCTGAAGCATGCCTCCAAAGCGTCTGCCAGGCATTCGGGTGTGCCGGAGCCTCTGGGGAGTCTCAGGACACAGAACTAAACCCCAGGGCCAGCCAGCCCCATCCCCTCTGGGTGGGCTGAGCAGTGCCCCCCACCAGACTGCCTCGAAGTTGGCTGGAACCCTCCAGAAAACGACTCACACCACCTGAGAAAACCTGGGCCGTGGAAAGGTGTTGGCAGGGGGTCCGGCAGGGGAAGGGCAGAAGTGACCAGGAACTTCCCGCCTGGCCACCTGAAGGAGATCTCATTCCAAGAAAAGATTTTACCTGAAATACCTTTGTTAAAAACCCATGAGCACCAGGCATGGGCAAACCATAGGCCAGATGCACAGGGATGCAGGCGGCCTCCCTCACGGCTTTGCACAGAATGGGGTCCCCTGCTGGTTGCAGCAGGATTCTTGTTAGGTGACGGTCGATGCTCCCTGGCAGGAGCTGAGGACACGGGTTCCCTGTCTGTCTCCCCCAGTGCGAAGACCAGAAGGTGGAGTGTCTGTACGAAGCTCTGAAGAGAGCCGGGGACAGGACCCTGAGGTCCTTCCCCACCTGGGTCCCGCTGGCTCTCCACTCGTCCATCAGCTACCTGGGCTTCTTCATCAACGACGGCCCCGCAGACGTCATCCGGGAATTTGCCATGGCGTTTGCCACGGAAGCATCCGTCTTGGCAGGTAGGAGGCCCGGCCTTGTGCACCGGGGCCTGGCTGGTGAGATTCCCGTCAGTGCTGGCCCTTCAGTGCCCTCTCCTGCAGAGGACAGCTGGTCCTTCCTGCCCCCAGGCAGCCTGTCAGCCACCGTCCTCAGACAGGCCCAGGGCCTCCCCTGCTCTCTCTGCCCCTAGGTGGGTCTCATCAGCTGCATCGTTACGGGGAGACTGAGGCCACTAAGGGTAAAATGCCTGCCCAACATCACTGCCCTGGGTTGATAGTGTCCCCTGAAAAGCCATGTCCACCAGGAACCTCAGAATGTGACCTTATTTGGAAACGGGCTCCGTCAAGATGTAATTAGTTCAGACACAGTCGCCCTGGATCAGGGTGGACTCTCAGCACAATAACCGGTGTCCTGACACCAAGAGAAGAAGACACCAAGAGATGTACAGAGCAGCCCTGTGACAACAGAGGCAGAGAAGGGCATGATGTGACCAGAGACCGCAGGAGGCGGGCAGGACCTCCCTGGACCCTTCAGAGGGAGTACAGCCCTGGCAGCTTCTGGACTCCAGAACTGCAAGAGGATGCATTTCTGTTGTCTTAAGCTGCCAGGTCTGTGGCGACCCCTAACAGCCGCCACAGGAAGCACACAGAGCTGACCAGTCCTAGTGGCTCTGCCTTGCTCCACACCACCAGGGGACCATGCGGACAGAGCCGGCTGGAGCCTCACGGCCATCTCCTGACCCTGACCCAGCCCTGCCCTGCTTTCCACAGCCCATGCTCTCAGCCTAACCCTGAGAGGGCTAGGAGGGGCCTCCCTTGCCGACGAGTGGCCAATTACGGTTCAGGAGTGTCCCTAGTCCTTCTCAGGGCAGTGTGGGAGGCCCACGCTGGCCATCCCAGCAAGACACAGCCCCAGACCTGGGCCTCGGAGAGGAAAGACAAGGGCCCATTCATAAGCCTCGTGACTCGCTCTCGTGTCCTGATGACAGCAGGCTGGGTCATTCCCGGGCCAGGCTGACTCATGTGGCAAGCCTCCCTCCCTGCTGCTGAAAACGGGTCAGAGGAGGAACTTCCCACCACCCACACTCGCCCGCTCGGCCACTCAGCTCAGCAGCTCCGGCTTAGAGGCCTCGTGCGCTGCTCAGGGAGCACCTGTGGCAGGCAGGGCATGTCTGGGCCAGGCCAGGGCTCCCTGGAAGGCTCTGTGTCCTCTTAGGGGAACAGCCAACCCTGTCTGATTGTAAGTGACCTTTGTGGCAGGTGGCCGCCATGTGCTCTGGGCCCACAGGAGACTGAGCTGGTGGCCTAGTTCCCCGGCACCGCCCCAGGAGTCAGCTCTGTCCTCCCGTCACTGCTGTCTGAATGGAAACTGAGCCAGGACACCACACCTGACCAAGGTCACCCTGCCCAAAGGGCAGAGGGGCCTCGACTTGGGCCCATCCAATAGCAAAGTCTGTGCCATCCCCACAGGACACCGACAGCTGCCCCAGAATGTCCGACACTTGGTGGCCAAGCTGCCATAGGATACAGGCTGCTCCGGAAGGGGGCCTTGAGGGCAGAGGCCACCCGGAAAGGCCCGCGGCTCGGCCACTCCCTGGGCTTCCTGTGTGGCTAAAGCAAGGAGAATGTTGAGACCCTGATGCTTCCCGGTTCTGCTTATCAAGTTTCTTCCGGAAACTCTTCCATGGAACAAAAAGCCCTTGAACTGCAGCTGTGGCCCCGAGTCCGCTGAGTCACCTGCACAACAAGAGCCCAGAGCCAGTCCTGAGAGTTGAGATCCTTTGTTTGGGCAATCAGCCTGCAAACTGATGGCCTTGACCCTTAACCACCTCTCTGTACCTCCTCTCCTTCCTTCTTGAAAATCCTACAGGTTTCCAACCCCCTTCCCTACAAATAACTCAGATGCCAATGAGGGCCTGTCCCCGCCTTGCTGAGGGGGCACCAGCACAGAGATGGAGGGTGGGCAGAGGTGGGAGGCGCTCTGTGTAGAGGCGCTTCCTGGTCTGGGGCATGTGGCGCTGGCTGCTTAGGTAACCGTCCTGCCCCATGTTCCTGATTTCCCAGACTGCTCCGTGAAGGCTTGTACCAAGCAGCTGCATCTGACCCTGGCCCACAAGTTCTACCCCCACCACCAGAGGACGCTGGAGGAGCTGGCTAGAGCCATCCCCCCCAGCCACAGCTGTCAGTGGACGGCAGCCCTGTACTCCCGGGACATGCGCTTTGTGCACTACCAGGTGAGACAACTGTGACCCAGGAGTGTGGCTGGACATGGCCCTCTCCACAGGAGACAAATGGACCAATGTCCTCCTTCCCAACAGCACTTCCATGGGGAGCCCTTCCTAGAGTGGGAGAGGACTGCTGTTCCTCCTCTGAAACTCTTGCCATTCAGAACCAACCTGTTAAGATGTGAGCTACAAGTGTGCAAAAAAATCAAGACAAAATCCTGCATTGCTGACAGTATCTGGAAAGGACTGTTGTAAAAACGTACGAACGCAGGTTTTGCTTATCAGATCATTTCATGTAGTGATGGAGTGGAGCCTTATTTCAAGGCTTTCTCCTCTGTGAATTGATTGGTTTGGGAAGAAAGCGTGTGTCATTCCTTCCAGAGCCAGGGAATGAGCGTGATGTTGCTTCCCAGTGCAAACCCTTGTGGGAGTCCACCATGCTCCTGTCCCAGGAGAAGCTGTGAATGACAAGCAAGTGGATGATGAATAGATGGATGATGGATAGATGGATGATGGATAATGGATGAGTGGATGGATGATGGATGGATGGATGATGGATAAATGGATGGATGGATAGATGATGGATGATGGATGATGGATAGATGGCTCATGGATGAGTGGATGGATGATTGATGGATAGATGATGGATGATGCATAGATAAATGATGAATAAGTGGATGGATGATGTGATGGATAAATGGATGGATGGATAGATGATGGATGGATGATGGATAGATGGATAATGGATGAGTGGATGGATGATGGATAAATGGATAGATGATGGATGATGGATGATGGATGGTGAATGGATGGATGGATGGATGATGGATGGATAGATGAAAGGATAGATGGGTGGATGGAAGGAAGAAGGCATCAAGCAAGCAAGCAAGGCAGAAAAGAAAAAATTTTATTTCTAAATCTACCCAAAGAATTCTGCGCTGCTGTATTTTGCGATATTCTATGCTGGATGTCATTAGAGGCCTGGTGGCATCTTGGAGACACAGAACACATCAGGGACCCAGAAAGCAAGATGTGGAATGTACCACTCCTCCTATTGCTGTTGCTTCCCAGCGCAAACCCTGGCAGGAAACACGAAACCACTTCCCTCCTTTCTAGACCCTGAAGGTCCTGTTCCAGTACAAGCCCCAGAACGTGGACGAGCTGATGCTCAGTCCTGGCGACTACATCTTTGTGGACCCCACTCAGCAGGAGGAAGCCAGCGAGGGTTGGGCCATCGGGACCTCCCAGCGGACGGGCTGCCGGGGCTTCCTGCCAGAGAACTACACGGAAAGAGCCTGCGAGTCTGACACTTGGGTCAAACATAGGTGAGTGCTGCCCCTAGCCAGGGCCCAAACCTCTCTCTGACCAGGCACTACCTGAAACAGGGGACTCAGCAGCAATGTGCTTCCAGAACATTCCATCACTGGAAAAACTGCATTCCTGGTGCTGCACAATTATCCCTGCAGATACAGTGGCTATCTTCACAGATTCAGTTTCTGCAGATAGCATTCAGGAAATGTGGGTTACTCCATATTTCTTTCCCAAGATAATAATGTCCAAATTATTGCAAAATACTTCTTGCTTCTTATTAGTGTCAAAATTATACTTAGAGGACTTAAGCTTTGGCTTATTTATTCTTTGCTCAGTGTATAAAACCTGTAATATCATAAGGTGCATTAGTTGTTTTCTATTTCTCTGCAACAAACTGTCACAAATTTAATGGCTAAAATGAAAGACTTTCATTTCTCAGAGTTTTCACGGGTCTGGATCAGAGTCCAGTTTAACTGGGTCCTCTGCTTGGTATCTCATGTGGCTGAAACTGAGGTGTGGCCAGGGCCAGGATCCCATCCAAGTCAGGTGCCCTCCTAAGCTCAATAACTTGTTGGCAGAAGTCACTCCAGGAAGTTGGAGGGCTGCCGCAGGCTTGTCCTCCTGCTCAGCTGGACATCTCTTAAGTGCAGTGTCCTTAGCCTCACCTGTCAAGGCTAAGGATTTTAGAAAAAACAGGTACTGATTTCTTTTTGTTTCTTGGTTCTTCAATTTGTCCCCCTCTTCCCTGTTTTACAACAAGCAACAAGAAGAAGCCAGGTGATCACCTTAACACACAAACACCCTCATCTACAGAACCAACCTCATCCCTCATAAGTTCTGACCCCTCTGGATGATCCCATTGAACTTCTTGCCCTGCCTCATGGGGGCCCCTCCTCAGGTTCCTTCCCACAGTCTCACTCCTCATAGAGTTCTCCGCGGGGCACCTTTCACGGCCTGCTTCTGCGAGCCCTCCACTCACAGGGACACAGCAGCGAGCAACTCAGATCCTCCCAGCCTCTGCCCTGCTGCCCAGCCCCAAGTTGCCCCCACATTCTAGGTATTTGTTAGGATAGCCCTCCACCCAGTTCCTGATACCAAACTTAGAAAAAGTTTAATTGGAATAGAAGGACCATGATTCTATATTATACATATATTTGCTACAAATACACATACATACATGTAGGTATACTGCATAGGCATGTATAATATGAGATGCACATTACACCCAGGAGAAAAGATCACAGAGCTGGGAGGGCAAGGCCCACGTGTGACAGCCAGCAGCACCCAGGGTGGGCCAGCAGTGGCAGTCACAGCTGCTCCGTGGAGTGTCTGTGTTTGAGGAAGGACTAAGCCTTTTTAAAATACCTTCCAACTGAGTAAGTGGGGCACAGGTGGGATAATGGCCCCTCCACACACTTAAATCCAGCTGGTTAGGGTGCTCACCGCATCCCCTCCCAGCAGCTTGAGGTCGAGCATTTGATTGGACAATTGGGAAAGCTGTGTGTGATGCTCAAAATGAGTGCCACTGCCCAACTCTTATAAGAGTGTCCCCGGGGACCTACTGCAGCCAGACACATGCTAGACAGGGAATTCTGGGACTTGGCTCAGTGTAGCCATCGTGACACACTGCGAAGCCATGGCAAGGTGCTGAGGCCTGAAACCACCCTCCCAGGGGCTTTTCCCTGTCTTCCCCCAGGTGTCAGCTAGGAGAGTGGAGGAAGGCGCAGAAGAAGAGAGGAGGGGAGAAAGGAGGGGGAGGCCGCCCGCCCTCAAGGCAGGCGCATGTGGGGCGGAGTCAGGCGGTTTCCATGAGACTGGTAGAAGACCTAGAGTGGGTGGGCAGGGGAAAGGTCTAGAAAAGCCTTTTGTGTGGTCTGGGGCTTCCTGGCACTTTCAGAACTGAGAGGCTGGGGAAGGGCCTAGGAAAGCACCCAGGTGCCCATCCCCTGCCTCCAGGAGGTCGCCCTGAAGGATTGCACTATTTCATTCTCTTCCTTAATCCTCTCCTAAAACTCCCCGCAGCCACGCCTGGGTTTCCAGACCAATGAGGAAACCCCTGGGTTGAGCACAGTTGTGTTCACAGGCGACTCAGTCTACAGCTTTTCAGATCCATGCAAGGCACTTTCCAAGGACAAATTTTTATCCAGCCTCAACACACCCAGGGAACTTCTTCTGTACCTCTTCCCACGGGGGTTCATTCCAAGTCAGAGCTGTGAAAACTGCCATTCTGCTTGAGAAGCTGTTGGAAGTACTTTAAAGAGAACCTACGCATAACCAACAGAACTCTAAGAAACCCTGGGGCTGAGGAGGCCCAGCTCAGCAGTAGAGTGCTCACCCTGCCCGCGGGAGACCTGCCTGGAGCTAGAAAGAAAGAACAGGGAGGGAGGCACCCTGAGAGAGCTGGGCTTCGAGATTTCCGGCCTCCAGGTGGAGGGGACACTCCTTCAACAACCATCACAGCAAAGGGTCACAGACACATGCGGAAGGGTGAGTGCAGAGAGCACCCTCCGCTAGTGTAGACATCCATGGGTCTGGGGGCCACCTCGGAGCTACAAGATGCTGGTCCATGGGGACTTTAGCGATGACCCAGTACAAACCCCTGCCCCGCATGACAGCCAAGATGACAGACAAGGCAGCAGGCCAGAAATGCTGCAGCATTAAGAAAGTGCACCGACTGGTCCAGGGGGCCACCGACGGAATCGCAGGAGCAGAGATGTTCTCACCCTCACAGGCCATCTAGACTCAGGAGCCTGGCCTCCCTGAGGCCCACATCCTTCACCACCTGCCCAGGAGAGCTCATTGCCACCCAGGAGCCACCAGGCAACCAGCCATGACCCAGCAAAGACTGCAGAAGGTGAGCTCGTGGGTGTCACATTTTTCACATCACAATTAATCTATCAGGGACCTGTCACCAATGTAACCAGTCTAGCTTTTATGCCTGAGTTTCTCTTAGGAAAAATTACCATGTCAAAAATTGCAATGAAAGGAAAGAGAAGCCAGCTCTGGGCTGGGTGCTCTGGGGTGTCTGACGGGCCTGTCATTCAAGCTCCCCACCCCCACTCAGGGAGCCATGAGACACCTGGCAAATGTGACATGTGACATGGACCCTGGTGTCAGAGAACTAGCCGGCTGAGTCTTTCTAGACAGCTGAAAGTCCTTATTAAACTCGTAAGGCTTTTTCAATCAAATACAGGCCTTGGATGTCTGCACATGTCACAGATGTCTTAAGCAGTGGGAAATTGGTTCCATGCTGTGTCTGAAGGCTGGCTCGCCTGTGGACAGGTGGACGGTGGTAACTCGATGTATGTCAGCCTCGGGACCTACACTGGGCGCGCGTGATACAAGCGTCAAGAACTGCAGCTCTCCAGACCCTCCAAGTTTGCAGCCATGATGCTCACACTTGGCAGCTAATACAGCAGTCACCCTGCACCCGTATGGCCACCCAGCCTTTACACAGGGCGGTCCTGGGGCTCCTTGACTGGCAACCACAAAGTCACACTCTGATATCCACCCACTGCTTTGGAGAAGGTGAGAAGCTGTGTGCAAGGCCATCACGATGGGGACCACTCCTGACCACAGCAGTTTCCAGCCATCTGGGCAGGAAAATGGGGATCAGAGAGGCCTACGTGAGGGTCCGGCTCAGGGGGACCCGTTGAGACCTGCAGCCAAGATGAGAGCATTTCCAACATCCAAGACAGAGGCATTCAAGTGACTTTTCAAAAACCACAGAATGAATTGAGAGCAGGTAGTTCAGACTGAAAAATGCAGTTGTCCTGGGGTGAGTATTGTCCCCCTAAATTCATCTGTTGGAGTCCTGACCCCCAGGACCTCAGATATGACCTTATTTGGAGACAGGGACTTTCCAGAGGTGGTTAAGTTAAAACAAGGCTGTTCAGGTGGCCCTAATCCTACAGGACTGTGTCCTTAGAAGCAGAAGAGATCAGGACACAGACACAGAAGGACGGCCCCGTGAGGACACAGGGGAAGACTGGAGCTATGGAGTGTAGACACATCTATTTCCATGTGTAAGTTAACCACTGAGTGACTCGTGAGTTAGAAAAAAACGGAAATGTCACAAAGCTGGGCCCTTCCGTCCCCTCCCATCACCATCACCCCCACCATCATCTTGAGTGCATTTCATCTGAAAGACGGCAGAGAAGTTCGATTTTCTCTCCAACTGTAAACTTCACAGATGTCACTTGTAGATAACGAGGCTTCATTGTTGGCATAGTGAGCCGCAAGGGGGTGTGGGTGCCCCAGCCTTGCCCTCAGGAAGAGAACCCTGCCCGCGTTTCCTGTCTGATGTGAGACCTTTCGCAGAGGGAGCTGTCCATGGCTCCAACACAAGGTCTACTCTTGGTCACTGGCCATCAGCTGACGTCTGCTGATATCTGACGGTATGAGCACGTGGGAACCACATCCATCAGTTTGGCCTGGCCTCCTCCTGTAGAATGTGTAGATCCAGACAGTACAAGCCATGGCGACGTGGGCAGGGGAGCAGAACTTGCAAGCAAACAAGAAACATGTGAACTGACTCAAAACACCATGTGGGCAGGAAGCGTTGCAGGGCTGGGTCCTGGGGCCCCATCCTGAGCCGTGGCTGAGACGCAGGACACGTGACACCTGCCAACTTCAGCCCTGGACAGGTCTCAGCGCAGAAGCCTGGTGAGCCATTGCTGGGTTTATGGGACCTGGGGACCTGAGTGCCTGTGGGGGAAAGTGGACATTTACTCTCAGGCTGAACAAGTCAAGCACATGCATTCGTGGCTGAGGAAAGTGGAGGCAGGAACGTGCCAGCTCCTCCCCGTCATTTCCAGGTTTAATGAAGTTCAGGCAAAATCGCCACGGGTCACTTTGTGGAACTTCTCTGAGGGAATGGAAAGATTCTGCTAGGAGAATGAACGGGGCAGTTGAGAAGACTTTGAGAACCAGCATCCTGGCTTAGGGGAGGTAAAACACAGGAGCACCCCCCACTCCCTGGGAGGTTCGCGTCTGAGGAAGGACACCCCAGAAGTCGGGAAGCAGTAGGTGCTTCACACTCTCACCCCGTCTTACAGTCCACCCCTGGCAGAGTCTGGGATGTGGAAGGCAGTCGAAGCTCATGTACTTCTGATTCCTGGGCTGGGAGAACTTGGGAAGCCCAGAGGCAGCAGGAGAGGTCCCGACAGACACGTCTTTCACCAGAGTCCACAGCAAACGGGTTCCAATGCCTGAACCTGAGCTCTCTCCCGTCCCCACGCACTCTGCTCAGTCACTCTGGCCTCTGCTGTGCCCCACGCCCTCCGGGGGAGCAGGGTCCCCCCGCAGGCTCTCTCTCCTCTCCCTGGCCCCTGGCCCACACCCGCATGCCCTGCAGTCTCCTCCCTCTCCATTTCCCATGTCACCTGCAGCACCCAGGGGCTCTGTGGGACACAGTGTACCCGGCAGCTGCCCCCACCTGGCCACCCCTGGTTTATTTTACCCCATGAAGCTCATCACCTTCTAATCAACCATGAGCTTTCCTTTTCCCAAAAATGTGGATCGGATCATGATAGATCAAAATCAGCTGGATGAGGAAAATGGGGTGAGATTCCGTGATCAACTGAGCCAGCAAATTATATTTTATCTTCTTTTTCAATTTGTTATATTTTCTAATAATAACGAGGAACAAAACATCCTGAGTCCTTCTGCTGGAACAGGAAGCCAGCGGAGCTGGGGTTGGCGGAAAGCGAGGACACACGTGGGTGGAGGTACCGGTGGAGAAGGGCTTTTCACACCCAGCGCAGCCCTGAGAAATGCACAGAGACTCTGTTGGAGAGACGCTGAGTAGCCCCCCGGACAGAGGCTGTGGATTCCTTTTAGAGATCTTTGCATTTGTAAGATGACCTCCCTGGGGAGAGGATCTTCTGCTGCTCTGAGGAGGATTCCTGGGACGTGGCTCTCTCTCCTGCTCTCTTCTTCCAGCCACTGCCGGTTCCCTGCAGACGCACCTGCTTTGCATTCCACCCTTGCCTGAATGCCAAAGCCAGAGTTCTCACCTCCCCTGGCAGCTGGGGTCCATCCCCAGCCTCCCCAGAGCTCCCCGATGCCTGTCCACCCTAGGGCACTTTTCTTGATTCAATGGACGTGTGTCAACTTCCTCTTCACCTGCGACCTCTCTCTCTCTATTGAAATGCACCCCCTCTTTCCCATGTTTCCATAGCTCTCAAGGCACCTGCCCACCGTGCATCTGTCCCTGCACCCCAACCATGCCCATCTGCACACCTGACTGTTTCAGAAGGTGAATCAAAGAGGATGGTGTATTAACCAGAGAAATAGTCTGTGCTCCCCAAAGAAGCAGAAGCAATCAGATGTGAGAGAGAAGGGGAGAGATTTTAAGGAACTGGCTCAAAACTGTGGTCTGGCCAGTCTGAAGTCTGCAGGGCGAGAGGCTCAGGGAGGAGCTGGCACTGCAGCTCCAGTCCAAAGATGGTCTGTGGGCGGCACTCCCTCTTCCTCAGGGACCCACCCCAGTCTGACTCCTTCTAAGACCTGGCTGCATGGGGTCCCCCTGCATTACAGAGCTCGTAATTACTTTTCTCAGAGTCTAGTGATTTCGGTTTTAATTTCATTTAGAGAGCACCTTCACAGCAACACTTGAACTGACATTAGAGCCAAGCATGTTGGCATGAGCCTGCCGTGCCCGCTACCTGGGAGGCTGAGCAGGAAGAGCTCTTGAACCCTGGAGTTCAAAACCAGCCTGGACCACACAGCAAGACCCCATCTCAAAAATATAAAATAACCTTTGGCCAACATCTGGGTGCCATGTCCTGGCCATGAAATGAACCCGCATGGTGGGGCCAGCAGCCGCAGAACACCCCACCATCAGGTTTGCCCCGTTCTGAGCACTTGGCACGTGCTGCTTCAGTTTGTCCTCACAGTGACCTTGTCTGCCAAGGTGGTCACACTCTAGAGCACACCCACAGCCAAGCACGGCCAGGGTGGTGCTTCTGTAGCAACGCCGTCTTCTTCCTGCAGGACGTACACCTTTAGTCTGGCCATGGACGGGAACTCCAGGAATGACGGGGACGCCAACGGCAGACTAAGTGGGGACTTCCACTCCTCTCCAGCGCCGAGGGGTGTCAGCAGTGCGCTGGCTCTGCAGGTAACAGGACCCCACCCCCATAAAGTCAACTAAGCACAGCACTTTCTATTAACTCACGGCGGACGCGGCTGCTTAGTGTTAACTGTGGATCTGTAGGCAGCCTCCTCTGTGGCCCCACAGCAGACTGGCACGTGGACCAGCAAGGTGCCCTCCCACCAGGGCTGAGCTGCTGGGCCACCCGGGTCTGTCCTCTCTGGGGAGGGTGATGTGACCTCTGTGGCTGAGCAACCTGTCTGCATGTTTCTGTAGGCAGCATCAGACATGGCCCGAGGACACCAGGCTGGGAGGAGACAGGGACAGGGCATGGCCAGGACACTCAATTCTTGCTCCAATTTTCTCATTAACAAGCCAAGTAACCCCCAGAGAAGTCTCCAGCCCTGGAACCTCGGCTTCCCTTCTTTCCAGGCAGGGCTGGGCAAGACAGGAGCCCACGCTATAATGTGGGGGACAGAGTCCGGGGCACATGTGGCCCACCAGGAGTCAGGCTGCACATGTGGGCTCAGGACCAGGCAGCCCCCTCCCAAAGACAAGTGAGTTTCCCTGTAAGCCCCCAGACACTGCCTGGGCTCGGGCCACCGTCTTCCGCCTGAAGCTAGTCTCTCTTACCAGGACCCCCTGGAGAAGCACCTGCAGTGGTCCTTGGGCAGTTACTACATCAGTGGGACGGTCTCTCTGCTCCCACCCGGTGCCACACACAGAATTAGGACCCTTTTCCTGCATCCCTAGCATTTCTGCCCTCATTTTACAAATCTAAAAACAGGGGCTTACAGGAGGAAGGCAGCTTGGTGGGGGCCACAAAGTGTTGACCCCACACTGGACACTGGGAGCCTCACAGAAGAGGGGCATCGAGGGCCTGCCATGGCTAGGCCCCAGCATCCCTAGCAGGCAGCCCGACATCCTTCCCCTAGACCCGCTCAGCACCCCAGAGGCTACTGATGAGCCAGGGGAGCTCAGCCCAAACAGGAATTGAGCCCAGGACACTGGACCCCGAAGGTGACACAGACCTGCTTTAGTCAGAGAGAAGGATGGCCCAACCTGGGCAGCCACTGCCCGGAAGTCAGAGACTTGCTGGTCACTAGTGGACAAGAAGCGGACTCCTGTACTCCGGCTGCCCAGGTGCCAGGAAACCCAGTGCGGGCCGACATGCCACCCACCCACCCACCCACTGTGGGAGTGGACGGCCCTCCCAGACCAGGCCCCTTCCAGAGCAAAGGAGGGCACCTGGGACAGAGGGCTCCCCCAGAGCACGGCCTGCGTTCCAGTTCACTGGGGCTTTAAATGGAAGGAAGGAGCACGCGTCTCCCTGCCAGCGGCCCCTCCTCTGCTCTGATTCCACCTCTTCGGTACAGTGAGGAGAGCTGTGGCCTCCGGTGGAACAGGGTACCTGGGGCAGGTTGAATAAGGCCCGCAGGTGAGAGGCCCTGAGCCCGGACCCTGCAGAAGCGACCTGAAAAGACACAGGGATCCAGTTAAGGACCTTGGCTTGTCCAGTGGCCCTAATGCAGCCACAGCTGTCCTCAAGAGGGATATCAGACGGAGAGCAGAAAGGCTCACAGAGGGAGAGGCCACGGGAAAAGAGGCAGAGACTGTGCGGCCACAAGCCAGGGGACACTGGAGCCACGGGAGCTGGAGGAGGTGAGGAAGGGCCGGCCTCGGAGCCCTTGAGCTGGACTTCTGGCCTCCAGGATGGCAGGAGCTCACTGGCGCTGCTCGGTGCTGCCCGGTTTGTGACGGCTCTGTCTAGAGGCAGGGTGCAGCCCTCTCCATCCTCAGACCCAGAGGCTGCTCTGTCCCCTCCCAGGACCTCCCAAGGCTCCGCGTTTCCAGAGGAGGAGCAGCACAGAGGACAGGACCCCGGGCTGCCCGTCATGTTGCGCTCTCCACCTGTCATCCTGCTGACCTTGGCTTCAGGAGTCACCAAGTCCTGTTATGCCCAGAAGCCCCCAGCCCACTCCAGAGGCAGGCACTGACCCCTCTGTCCTCAGTGGCTCTGTGATGCATCTTCCTGGGTTTGTCCCTCAGCCCCACAGAGACCTGCAGCTCCTGGAGAAGGGTGCACTGCAGCACTGTCCCAGCACTGTCCCAGGCACCTTCCCAAGACACCATGTTGTGACAGTGGCACTGACAGCCTGAGTCCTGGGAGCCAGCTGGCAGCACTATGGGTCCTGGGTTGAGGTGGGACAGCTCTATCCAGCTTTAGAGCAGAGGCCCCCAGAAGCCTGGGCCTGCCACTGGGTGGCGGTTCTCCAGGGTGACGGCTGACCCTCCGTGCCTCCTCAGAGTTCTGGCTTATATATAATAAGGGCTTTGGCTGCCCACAGCTGTCCTGGAGGCCTCTTGCTGGCCTCCTGCTGGCTCGGTCCCCAGAACTCTGCTCTCTGCCCCACCCCCGCACCATCTCCCTTAGAGAAGGTGCTCCTCAAGCTGCCCCCCACCCCTTCAGTTGTTCACAGCACGGGTAGGAGAAGGGTCATCCCCAGCTCCCCTGGCGATAGACCCCCACATGTAGGAGCCCCCTCCAGGGGATAGTGCATCATCATCACTTGAAGGGCCTCCAGTGACTTCAAGAACAGGTGGGACATATCCCTGCAATTGCAAGGCTTAAGGCCACTCAGAGGGCAGTCTGAGCAAGGGAGGAATGTGCCAGAGAGCAGCTGTCCCCAGTACCTGAGACTGCTGGCCACTGCCAAATCCTCTGTCATGCCAAAAAGAAGCAGAATAAAATACAGTCAGCCCTTCATAGCCACAGGTTCTGTACCCACTGATTCAACAAACACGGATTGAGAATATACAGACGAGTTGCATCTTCAGTCAGTCAGTGTTTCATCATTGTGACAAAATCCCCAAAATAAGCAAGTTAAAAACATGAAAGGCTTATTTGAGCTCCTAGTTTCAGGGCATAGTCACCTGGCCCTGTTGCTTTGGGCCTTTGGTGGCAGAGTGCAACAAGGCATGAGCCCAGGGTGGAGGAGCTGCTCCCCTCACGACAGCTAGAGAGCAGGGAGAGAGAAAGGAGCCGGCCCACTACCCCTACAAGAGTGCCTCGGTGACCTGACTTCCTCCACTAAGCCCCTAAAGTTCCCACCAACTGCCAATAGTGCCACCAGCTGGGGACCAAGCTTTTGAACACATGGGCCTTTGGGGATCATTCAAGATCCAAACTACAGCACACCTGCACTGGGCAGTACAGACTGTTTTCTTGTCATCAGTCCCTAAGTAAAACAGTAAAGCCATTATTTACATAGCATTTCTGTTGCCTCGGGGTTATTATGCAACAGAAAGATGATTTCAGGTAGATGGGAGGTGTGCGCAGGCTACACGCAGATACTGTGCCATTTTGTATCGGGGATTGAGTGACCGTGGATTCTGGTATCCGAAGGGGTCTTGCACTCTCCTCCATGGACAGCAAGAGACAGCCGTGCTGATTTCCCGTAGCACTTTCCTGTAACAGAGAACACAGCTACAGGAAGGCAGCAAGGAGGATCGATGGAGGGCTTCTCCCTGGGTGCTCAGGGACAGAGGACACACCTGAGACCAGAGGAGTTGTCCAGCTGCCTTTCAATGTGCCAACACAGGGGCAGTCCTGGAGGGCTCCTGGAAGAGGAGGAGTGTCAGCAGAACAGGAGGTGGCAGCCAATAGATGGATGAGAGATAGAAATACGGTAACAATAGATCACAAAATAGTGATAGGGAGAGAGAGAGATCACAATCTAAGAAGTCTCTGTGGAGGGCTGAGGACTTGGAAGAGACAGGGACGTAGACTTGTTGGGTTATGGGGGGGACCAGACCTGTCTCTTCATCTCCTTCATGAGGCTCTGATGCCCAAGAAGTGAAAAGGTGGGAGGAACTGGGATGTTCCCAGTCCTTGTTCACTGTGAGGGCTCTGGCAAGTGGGCAGAGCTGGCGACCAGCACGGGACAAGGCTTCCCCTCAGGCCAGCCGCCAGGACCTGGAGGGACACTGTCCGACAAGGCTGATTGGTCACTTGGGTTCCGTTTCCTCCCACCGCCAGGCCATGATCTCCAGGAGGAGTGTGCTGGTGGTGCGGCACGGGGAGAGAGTGGACCAGATCTTCGGGAAGTCGTGGCTGCAGCAGTGTACCACTGCAGACGGTAGGTCCAGTCCAGGGGGTCTGCAGGCAGGATGACCAATGAGGGCCCCGTCTCACTTTCTTTAGTTGTGCCCTTTAGAGTGGCCATGCCACTGTGGCTGCAGGAATGTGCCAGCACCAGAGAGCTCCGGGGTCACTTGGAGCACACTCATCAGTGGTGACACCATCTGCACAGATGATGGAGCATATTGATAGAAGATGGCCCTGGCACTTGTTGGACACGAGTCTGAGCCGGGCGCTGGGCTCCAGCACTAGTTCAGTGGCACTAACACAAATCTCACTTCCCCTCTTTACTGAGGAGGAGGTAAGCTGTATGCTTCTCCTCATGTAGCTGTTGCCAATGGTGCCAGGATTCGCACCCTGACTGACAGATCTTAGAGCTCACGGTCGAACTCAGAATGTACTATGCAGCCCCTGAGTGGGGAGAGTGTCTGGACACACCCGACTTTCTAGTCCTGCCCTCAAGTCACTGAGTAGCACCCAGTGCAGATCACCAGAGCCAGGTGCACCCTGTCCTGCAAGCTGTAAGATACACTTAACGCTGTGGAGCGGGTCACATTGCACCTAATTAATTAATGCCACATCAGTCATGGAGACCCTGCTTCTCTCTCGGGATCTTCACTGTGTGACTCTTCTTGGGGCTTCTGGGAGGGCAGAGAGGGTCACGGTTCCTGGGGCTGCAACCTCAGTGCTATGCAAAGCACGGCAAAGCTGCCTTTGCTCCTCAAGTGGAATCCGCCTCTCAGAGCGAGTGGGAAAAGCAACAGCTGAGGATGATTTAAATAAGAGCCTTCCTGGCAATGCGGCCTCTCGGGACACGTCTACTCCGACGTCCCACGTTCTTTCGTTTTGCCTTAGGAAAATACCACAGGCCTGACCTGAACTTCCCTCGAAGTCTGCCTCGACGGAGCAGTGGCATCAAAGACTTTGAAAACGACCCTCCGTTGTCATCCTGTGGAATTTTCCAATCCAGACTAGCAGGTGTGTTTGAGGCCACTGGGAAGGAGCAGCTGATAGTCACAGGGTGGCCATCGAAGCTACAGGGAGTGGCCCTTCAGTGTGCAGTGTAATGTCAGTATCAGCATTTGCCCACTCTGCTGCAGGGAGGCTGGGCGCAGAGAGGTGAGGCATCTCACCCAGTGTCACCCCCTAAGGTGCCAAATCCTGGCATGCTCAAGTCCCTAAGGTGAAATGGTGTGGTGTTTGCATAGAATCTGTGCACACCTTCCCATATACTCCAATCCTCTCCAGGTGACACGATGCCTGATACAATGTAAATGCTATGTAAACAGACTCTGTTGTTTAAGGAACAACAAGAAAAACGTCTGTACATGTTCTACACAGATGCAGTCTTTTTTCCAATATTTTTGTTCCACACTTGGTTGGGCCTTTGGATGCAGATGCAACAGGTAAGGGAGGCCAATGCTCTCCATAAACACCCTATGTCCACATAAGGCTGTATCTGAGGTACCTGGGGTTCACCCGGCACATCTCTTTGGGGCACACAATTCATTCCATGGCAGGCTCCTTGGTGCCCACCGGCCTTGGCCCTGTGCAGGGCTTGCACAGTAGGAACCCCTTCTTTCCCAAGAGTGGGACTTCCCACAGTGCAGGAAAGGTGGCTGGTCTAGAGGCTTGTCCCACAGTGAGCCCCCAGGGCCTCAAGTTTGCTGTTACTGCAGAACAGCTTAAAGCACAGCCCACATGTGTGCACCCAGGTGGGCGGGGATGATCTTGCCAAGTCTCAAAGCCAGACACCGGAGGGTCCGCAGGACGGAGCGCCCACTGGAGCTCAGGTCCCCATCCAGACTCCAGCTGAAGGCTGATCCTCTCGGTTGTGGGACTGAGGTCCTCTCCTCACGGGCTGTTGACCAGGGAGGGACTGCTCTGCTCACACTCCTGGCCGTGGGGCCCCTCTTGCAAGACAGAAATGGAGAATTTCTCACATGCCAAACCCCTCTCACTTCAAACCTCTGACTTCTGTGACTGGCTGGGGGAATCTCTGCTTGTGATGTGCTCACCTGGCTCCGTCAGGTCCCCTGGGTGTCTCCTGGTCACAGGAGCAGGGATTGATGGTCACAGTCACACCCAGGAAGATCACGCAAGGTGTCCCAGAACCTCCTAGGACCCTGCCTGCCTCAGGCGGAGCCGCCACCTAAGCTGCTAGCTGATTCCTGGGCTAGAATCGTGAAGGGCGTTTTCCAACTGCTGTCTTCCAGGAGGCGCGCTGATGGACAGTGGCGTCAGACTCACCGCCGTCTTCACCTCCCCAGCCCTCCGCTGTGTGCAGACAGCCAAACACATCCTGGAAGGTGGGTGAGAATCTCAGCAGGCTTTGTGTGTGGCCTTGACTGTTCTCCACGGGGAGGGGAGGGAGCAGAGGTACAATGGGATGGTGGGCCTGAGTGGCCAGACAAAAGCAAAGGCCGTGATGGACCAGCTGCCCCAGGCCAGCAGCCGCTGAGGCACTGCTGCTTCTGCAATCCAGGACTGTGGGCAGTAGGAGCTGGGTGACGAGCACCCGGCCCGTCCTGCTGCTCACCCAGGCCCCTTTCTGCCAGGTCGAAGGAAACACCTGGAAAGGGGCATTCAAAACCTAGGGATCTGGGAACTGCTGTGGTCCCTTCTAAGCTGCCCACGGGGGCTGTCCTGCGTGCTTCTGGGCAGAGTGTGCCAGGAAGCCTTTGGTGGGCCCTTCTGCAGCTTCTACACAGGAAGAATTTCCTGCCCAGAGATGGCAGCCCATTAGGAGGCCTGGGTTCTGCTCCCCAGTCTGCATCCCGCCTGCTCCTCCCTGGGTGGGAGGAGGGATGTGACCTAGTTCCCCAGGCAGGGACTGGTGCGCCAGGACACAGGGGCAGGAGGGAGGCAAGGCACAGACTGGCAGGCGGGCCCACGTGGGGGAAGGGCTTGCTCCAAGTCTCAGAAACACAGGAAGTCAGGTCACCATGGACAGCAAGCCAGGGGAGGGACCGTCAGAAGCTTGCAGAGCTGTCAGGGAGTGGGGCCACACATGGGCTGGGATAGCAGAATGACCGGGGCAGCACAGTTGCGGGCATGAGTTTCCATGGAGCATTGGGTGGGCCCGGGGTCCTCTCCAGCTGGAGCTAACAAAGGCTGGGGTGACAGTGAGGGCAAGGCAGTGAGGGAGTGTGGATCGGGGACAGTGTGTGCAGGGTGATGAGACTGTGGGGTCCAGGCGGGCTCCGGCAGGGAGACGGGGCTGGGCAGGTGGGTGGAAGGAGAAGGGCAGGGAGCTCACGGGAACCAAGTCCTGGGGGAGCGAGGGAGCAGCAGGAGACTGCGCCTACAGGGTGTCCAAGGCAGGAGCGGTGACTGCGTGCGGATGGTCGGGAGGAGCTGTCGGAAGGATGATGGGTGGACTGGACAGGTGCACCAGCCCCACTCCTGTGCCTTCTCCCCCTCCCGTCCTGTGTGGGCAGCTCTGCGGGGACCATCCAGGTCAAGATGCATGGTCAGAAGTCCCAGCCAGGGGAGGCTGACCACTTTCAGAACCAGCTTGGACCCCTGGCACCATCCACCCCTTCCCAGGCTCTCATGGACTATTTTGTGACCCTGAGAAGCCTCCGTCTGCCTCCCACTTGGGAACCCTCCCTGCTCCCTTGTCATCCCACCCCCTAGTGACATTGGACCTCGAGCCCCCACTCGGTGTTTCAGGTCTCTGAGATAGAAATGCAGGTACCTCAGCTGGTGCGGGGGTTCCAATGTGACTGCAGGGCGCCTCTCCCTCGGGTTCTCAGCTAATGGTGCTGAGTAGGATAAAAGGACCAAGTCAGCCTTTTACGTCAAACCTGGGCAGCGCCCAGTAGTCCCCAGTGCCTGAGTGGCCTGATGCACGGCATGGCTGCACCCAGGGTGGAACAGGCCTGCCAAGGCCCCTTGTCCCTCCCCACCAACACGTGTGCAGACTCTTGCACACAGAGCACACGTGTCCACACCACACACGGACACACAGCACACACACACACACAACCCCACACACATGAGCACATACACATGTGCGCACACACCTCGGAGTCCCCTTCAGCAGCTGAGCATGGACTACAGTACTGGGCAACAGCTAGGAAGAGACCAGCTGCTTTTTCAGAGAAATGACCCAACCAGGTGGTAAGGGCCCCACGGTGGTGGACTCTCCTGGTTTCTCTCACCACCCACCCAGAAGGGAAGGAGAAAAGGCCACTCAGTGCCGCCCTCTGCTGGAGGGACAGGGCAGCAGAAGTACCACCAACGCCAGTTCGTTCAATGCCCGCACAATCGCTTCTAGGCCACATTTGTTGCAGCTTTCAGGTTGGGGTGACCCTGAATGACGATGACGGAATAAAGCAAAACACATAGGAAATAACACATCCCGGGTTGTCTAGGACAGTGTGCTTATTATCGACCCAACGGTGACAGTAAGAGGGAACAAAGCAAGGAACAGGCAGCGTGTGATACAAGGTGACAGCTTGGCCTCAGTTTCCCTCTCTGTCCCTGCTCCAAGCCTCTCACTTCCTCCCATTTATAGAGCCTCGTTTGTGGTTGCCTAAGATGCAATTTTCCACCGTCTTTCAAAACTGGTTTAACTTCCACTCTGCAGGCGCCCCCCGGGAGAGCTGGTGTGAGACGCCCAGGGTCTGTGTCCCGCCAGACGCCCCCGGCCTGGCGCCTGGGCTTTTGTGGCCCACCCTCAGGCCCTTCTCTGGTGGTGACCTGGCCCTCCCCTTCCCTCCCAACCTCCCATCACAGCAACAGCGTATGAACAGAAGCATAAAAACATTCTTTTGTCCAGTCTTCATGGGCAAAAAACACTGAGCACTTTAAAAATCTTTTCGTAATTTTGTCCATTTTGTCACTTATGTTTCCATATTATGAGCATATTATTCCATATTTTGTGGATATTCTTTTGACTTCTGTTACTTGGGTCTCTGGCATGAACAACAAAAAGTTCTCAAAACTGTTATTGGACAATGACAATGTCTGTATCTTTAACGTGATCTTTGGCTTCTACTCTAGTCACAGAAGATTCCCATTGTTACGGCTGTTAAAGGACACAGGCTTATAAATCCTGTGTTAGCTCAGAAAACAAGCAAACCCAATCCTCCCCATAAATCCCAAACACGATCCACCTGTTTTCCAGGCAGATCCAAACATGCTAACTTTACGTCAATTCCACGTCCATGAGTGTCCAGATGGGCCATTAGCCAAAGGTGTCCCACAGCGCAGTGGCCCAGGAGGCGTCCTCCACAGGGGAGCTGCTGGCCAGGCGCTGGAAGCTCCCAGAAACTCCTCCTGTGATGTCCTTAACAATGACCAGGGAGGACGCAGGAGGCTTGGTCCAACCCCTTCCTAAAAGTGCCTGGCGTGGGAACCTGTCCCGTGAATCTGGACACATTTTGGAACTAGTTTAATTTCCAACACTTGCACTTAATGACACTTTTCCCATTTCAAATAAAAGCAGTAAGTCTTTTATCCCCCCTGCAAAAAGGGACGGCCTTCCTAGACAGATCTTTTAGTCAAGACATAAAAGGTGAGTTGCAAGGAGTCAGAACATTCCAGAGACAGTTCCTTTCTGTCCTTCACCACTTGCCCAGTCGGGGCCACGTGTCCATCAGGACAGTGCCTCGTCACTGACATTCTCCAGAGGGGCCACATCCTTCCTACTGACGGCTGGACCAGCAGAGTCCTCACTGCACCCTCCTGACCTCCACCAGAGGGTGAGGCCTGCCATGGTGGCTTAGCTATAAGTCCTCCTGGGGTCCAGTCGAGCCTGCAGCCTTTGAGGTAGGCTGTCCCTTCCTCACCCCTCTGGTACCTCTATCACCTGGCAGTTTGGGTTTCAGAAACAGCACAACTGAGTTAATCACAGAACAATATTCACCAAGAAAAAGAATCACATCTTTGAAAGGTATTTTTAGATTTGCATGAAAGTCAGCTCCAGTGGGGGAGAGACCTATCTACTCAGGCCAAAGTGGACGCTGCCCAGGACAAACACTTATTCTCTGTTGAATCCAGAACTCAAACTGGAGAAAAAAATGAAGATAAGAGTGGAGCCCGGGATCTTCGAGTGGATGAAATGGGAGGCCAGCAAGAGCACCCCGGCCTTCATGACCCGGCAAGAGCTGAAGGAGGCGAGCTTCAACGTCGACCCCGACTACAGGTGGGCCCTCCCCAGGCTCTCTGCTCCTCTTTCCCCAGCTCTTGTTAAAGAGTTGTCAGGACCCTGGTGAAAGAAGGCAAGGGAGACCATGCTCAAGAGGGACCTTTGTGGTGGCGCTGTGCAGTGGGGGAGAGGGGTGGGGCCCAGCTCTGAGCACGGCCAGGGCCGGCGGGGATCTGTGGCCCAGGAGCAGGTGGGCAGTGGTGGAAAGCGGCTGAGCCTGCCTGCCAAGACTCCTGGTGAGGTCAAGCCAGGGTGATCAGATGGCTCCTGAGGGGCCAAGGTAGAGGAATCTGGTCAGACATGGACGGTGGTCTTACAATGCAGATGCCCAAAGGTCAGGGCCTCGCAGGGGAGGCATCGGGAGGCGCCTGACCTGAGTCTGATGGAGGGGAACATACTGTTCCTTCCCTCCCAAGCCCAAGAGCTGAGCAGAACCGGGTTCAGTAAGAACACAGCCCTGCCAGTGCCATCTTCTGTTGACTGTAGGCCCCTGAGCCCTGCCAGGCAGGGCCACGAGGAGAGCGTTCTCCTCCCCAGCCGGCCCAGCACACACCCCGAGTCCCTGCGAAGGAGCCCGCAGGGTAGCCAGACCCTCCTCCTCCTTCCAGGCCTGCCTTTCCCCTCTGCTCCCTCCTGCCTGCTGAGAGCTACGAGGAGTACGTCAACAGGTGTGCGGTGAGCGTGCACCAGATCCTCAGCGCCTGCCCCCAGGACGGTGAGTCCTCCGCCTTCCGTGGGAGCAGCCTCGGGGGGCTCCCTCTGCGGTGGAAACGGGCGACTCCTAGATTACTAGCACCCCAACTCCCCCACTCCCGTCCTCCAGCCCGCAGAGCACCCACCCCCACCGCCGCAGTAACGGGGACCTAGAGGGGACCCTGATGCTGGGGCCGGGAGCTGACGGACCCGGGCCAGCACCCATGTCCAAAGAACTCAGGTCAGCTTCTAGGGACCAGGAAGCCAGGGAACTGCCGGGCAGGTGGGTGTGTGGGCCACAGCCCACTCCCCGCAGCTGGGGCACTCACGTCACTGAGGGAGACCCACTCAGCCCGGGAACTCTGGATGCCCTCCAGACACTCGAGTCCTTACAGTGATAAACTGGCTGATCACTTAAAGCACCCCATCTGGTCAGTCCTGGACAGCATATCTCACCTGTGGTTGACTGTCCCAGGCAGCCAACCCCCGGAGGGTGGTGGCTCAGATCACCCCACTCCATCCTGCAGTTGGTGCACAGGTGCTGTGCCTCCAGACCCTCTGCAGAGGGGTGATGCCCACTGGAAAAGATGGCACCCAGGGGAGGCGGAATAGTGAGTGCGGTTGAGCTACGGTCAGCCACACAGCTACTGGGAGGACACTCGTCCAAGAAGGTGCTCTGCGCCTGCTCTGACCGTGAGGTGTCTTTTTTCCACAGCGGGCATCATTCTAATTGTGAGCCATGGCTCTGCGCTGGACTCCTGCACCCGGCCCCTCCTGGGGCTGCCACCCCGAGACTGTGGGGACTTCGCCCAGCTGGTGAGGAAGGTAAGTGCCTGTTCTCAACTGTGTGGGCCACTAAGTCCAGCAGCCAGAAGGCACAGGCTGTCACACTCCCTTCTCTGGGTAACAGGACCCACATGCCTCTGAGAAGGTGCCACCTCTCCTGTGCAGAGAGCAACCTTGGCTGGGGTGACGGACAGGCCTGTTGTCCTTATCACTGTCATTGAGACTTGAGATCGTTGCTGCCAAGAGTGTGAAGAACAAGAAGCGGGATTTTAAAATTTCGGTTCCTGCTCTAATTCCTCGCCACTTGTAGAAGACACAGCCCAGTAAGGGCTGAGCCATCTGGAGCAGGAGAGACGACTGTGGGCCCACTGCAGACCAGGGAGGGAGCACTGGGGGACCAGAAGGACCTTCCCCCACTTGTCTCCAGACTCACCAGCTGCAGAAGGAACGTGAGCTGTGGTAGCTACCTTGTGCCCCCCTGCTGGGACAGATGGTGTCAATTCCTAATGACAATCAGGAGACAGAGGTGTAGAGGACAATGGTAGTTTGAGCGACCTTGCTGAACATCACGCAGCAAGCAGACAAGAGGAGTCGCAGGGGACAAGCTCAGGACTCCTGCTTCCTGGTTGAGCTGCTCAGGGCTGGACCTGCCCAGTGGCCTTTACCTTTTTATCAAGTAAATCAGAAGTATGGCTCCTACTTGTGATAGAAGGCGGGTCCCTGCCCTCGGTTCCTTCACACAAAACAGCCATGAGACTATGCTGGCCACAGTGGTCACACTTGTTTGCATGGGCGGGAAGGTGTCAATCAGTCCTTAAAGGGCCAGGCACTGCAGAGCAGCCAGGCGCTCAGGCCCAGCACACCAAGACCTGCGCCTGCCTGCTCCGAGTACATGGCCTTTGGAGCCCATTCCCTGCCAGGGAAGCACAGAGCCCCCCCAGGTCAGGGGTCCACACTGTGGGGAGCCTTCCAGGCTGTGGGACATCACTCAGGCCTCAGACACCTGAAGATCCCCTCTCTGTCCCCTCCTCCTCTAGACCCAAGCAAAAATGTGTTTCCAAGGCAGTGTCCCAAGATGGAGTTTCCCAGCGAAGGCCCAGGTATTCCAGAGCCGCCAGGTTCCTGGGTGACAGCTGACCGTTATCCAGATTTGACAGCTCAGCACCACCCCTCCCAGGCCACCTGGGAGACGTCCCTAGAGGTTTTCCTGGGGCATCCTCCAGGGCAGCCCTGGTGCCCCCCGAATGTTACTCTTGCTCCTGCAGATGTCAGTGTGCCTCCTGCCACCTGCTCTCAGGCCCCCCTCCTCTCCCTGCCCCCTTCCTGCAGCCACACGCTCACACAAGCCCCGGCCCGGGCTCCTCTTTGTCCCTGTAGCCAACAAGGGTGACAGCACTGCACACCAGACAGTCTCGGAACTGCAAGTTGACACCGTTCCAAAACCCACTCGTCCTTGTGGCCAAAGGTCCTGCCCACTCGCAGGACCCTTGGCCCGTCCTGAACTCCCAGGGCTTTCCTATGCTGGCCATCTGGCATCCACCCCAGCACCCCCCAAGATAAGCCAGACTTGCCCAGGCTCCTCAGAACTTCATCAAGGGGCTTTGCCAAAGGACGGGCCTTCAAATAAGGGGCAGCTGCAAACAGAACACCCAAGACCTTCCTGTTGCCCACTCAGGACCTTCCTGTTGCCCACCCCCACCCCCACCCCTTAAGCCAGGGAGAGGCTCACTCCTGAGTCCACACCAGCCTCCACTTAGATCCCCCTGCCTCAGGGGATTTTTGCAAAATTTTGTCTGATCAAAGAATTTCTAGGTATTAGAAAGAGAAAGGAAATGAAGAAAAACAAAACATGCGACAAACGTAAAGCCTGTCACAGGGCCCTGTCCACCCAGCACGTTCGTTCCTCAAGGAACTGTGCCGGGAGCTCCTCTGGCGCTTTTCCCTGAGCCTGGAAACCCCACGTGCCCCTTTTTCTGCTGCTGTGGGAAACATCAGCCACTCCCTGGGGGGCCAACCAGGGCTCCCAAGGCACTGCGGACATTTGGACCCACACTTCTCAGGTCCCCTGCATTCCAGGGTGCTCAGTAGCATCTTGACCCCAGGCGTCCCTGGGGGGGTCAGTCGGCCTCAGGTGAGGACTGCCCTGGCAGACGCCGCACTGGTCTAAGGCAGCGGGGACCTTGGTGGCCCTCCACAGCCCAGGAGTGCCTGTCAAGACCAGCCCAGAACTGGCAGGCAGGTATCAAATGTTAACACGGAGCGCAACCTGTGTTCCAGATCCCCTCCCTGGGAATGTGCTTCTGTGAAGAGAATAAAGCGGAGGGAAAGTGGGAGCTGGCCACCCCGCCCGTGAAGACGCTGACGCACGGGGCCAACTCGGCCTTCGACTGGAGGAACTGGATCCCGGGCCCCGGAGCCCAGTGAGGCGGTCCACCAGGAAGGGGCCTGCGGGCTGCAGACTGTGTGATCCTGCCACCACAAAGGTGCCTGAGCCTCGCCGGAGGTGACTCGCGAAGCACAACATGCACTTTTATATTCCAGAATTCTCGCCGCTTGCTTTCACCTTGCCACAGCCATCCTCCATCAGGGCACAGAGCAGCCAGCCAGGTTAGGATGTCACACTACAGCGCACATACCCAGACCTGCTACAGGGACGTCAGAGCTGCTGGGGTGGAGGGAGGGGGACCAGGCATCCCATGTCCAGAAATCACAGGCCACACACAGGCACACACACACACACGCTCAAGCACACGCACGCACATGCACGCACACACACACGCATGCAGGCACACATGCACACACATACGCACACACACACGCACATGCACACTTTATCTTAGGTGCTCTTCGAGGTCAAGCTCCCACCATTTTCCTTCATCTAGTCCCACCACTGTCCATGTGCACTCCAGCTAAAGAGGTCTAAGTGTCAATCAAGCAGGGAATTGTCCACCTGGTCAAGGTGGGGACTGACCCTGGGTGCCAGCACCTTCCCTGTCAGTTTTCTGTGGCCGCTGCAACAAATGACCCCGACACAGCAGTGGCTGGAAGCAACACCGACTTTTACCACACACTTATTCTCTTACAGTTCTGGAGGTCAGAACTTCTAGAAAGGGTTGGTACCTGCGCTCCCTCGGGGGACTCAGGCGGGTCACATCTCCTGCCTCCTCCAGCGACTGGAGGTGCCTGCACATCCTGGCACAGGGGCCTCCTCCATCTCCAAGGCCAGCAGCACAGCACCCCCCAATCTCTGCCACCTGGCCTCTGCCTCTGCACCTCCTCCTCCCTCTCACAGGGACCCTGTGATGGCCCTGAGCCCTCCTAACAATCCTGGGCTCGCTCTCATCTCAAGGTCTTTAACCCCACGTTTTACCATGGAAGGCCACCTGCTCACAGTCCCAGGAATTAGGATGTGTGCATCTCCGGGGTCTCCACCTGCCAGGCCCTGTCCTTCAGAGCACATCAGGCTGCTATACGAGGGCCTCAAGTGAGGAGTCGAGGCCCCTCTTCCTGCGTTTCCCGTTTCTCTCGCTCTGATCATGTGCAGAGAGGGTGGGGCTTTGCAGAGCAGGAGAGCAGGTTCTTTCTCTTGCGGAATCAAGAGGAGGGCCCCAGCAGAGGGAAGCCTTCTCCGTGGTGGCATGAGCCCTACGGTGGCTTTGCCTTTGAAGAAGATGGTCATCAGAGGATGGGGTGTCCCCATCAGTGTCCTCCCACTCCCACACCTGTCCCCACAGCCCATGCACAGTGTCCCTAAACTGCAGACAACACTCCCACCGTGATGACGTCAAAATCAAATTTGCTCTTCCCCAGAGGCCCTTTCATGGCTGCTGGGTGATCTGCTCCGGCCCTTTACAGAATGAACAGCCGCGTGGGAAGTGCCCGTGTGCCCCTTCCACCTTCCCCTGCATCGCCCAGGCAAGCCAGGAGCGAATAATACAGGGCACTTGGTAAATACAGATGGCAAATGCCCCCGCAGTCGGAGCCCCACACCCTGCTCGGGGCCTCGCTGTTCCGTCAGGCGCTCTGCTGAGGGAACCCGACGCCTGTTGGCCCCGTTTTGTTTGACTAATGACTTATTTTTTCTGCATCCAAACATAAGGACGTCTGGGGATGCCATGGCAGCAGAGAGCAAGGCCCAAGTGCAGCCCTCTGTGGTGCACCCAGGTCTACTCTGCAGCCTCGCAGGTGCCCAGCAGGTCCTGGCAGGAAACAGTGGGCTCCCTGTGAGGGCAGGCAGGGGACCCTCCTGCTGGGAAGCCATCCTGCCCCAGCTCTGGGACAGCTCTCCTCCCTCCAGCAGGGTGTGGAGGACAGCTGCCGTCCCGGGGGGCCTTTCCTGGACCTGCTGCCACACCCACCAGCCGCGACACAGGCACAGGGCACATCAAGTGGGCACAGTAAGCCGCAGTCCCAGCACAGGCTGGCCTGTACTGTGTCCCTGGACTCATCTCCAGGGTGAGGCTTAGGGTTCCCGGTCCCTGTCTGGTTCCAGGGATGATCCTGGGGTGGGTGCTGCTGGCCTGGTTTGCCAGGGGAAGGGGACAGCTGGGGTTCCAGCTCTCGGGGTGCAGTGTGCAGGAAACACTTTTCCTTTATCTTCCATGTGTCTAGCCAGACCAAGTTCGGTCATTTTGGGCTTCCAGAAGGAGTGACTTGTGACAAAGGCTGAGTCCTGAGCCAGCCTGCGCTGGAGAGGGGCAGAGGTGGCACCTGTGGCGGGTTCTCCCTGCAAGTTTCCACCCCAAGATCTAATGAGGGGCATGGCGGGGAGGCTCCTTGGCAGGCTTCACTCTTTCCTCTCTCTGGGTCAGCCCTCCGTGTTTCTGAGCCTCGTGTGACCCCTGCTGGCACCATCTGGGAATGGACGGGTCACCATGGACGCACCAGCCTGTCACCACCCACATTCTCCTTTTGACTCCTGCACCTGTGCGCTGGAGGACACCAGCCTGGGCAGGATGGGCACCCCGAGGCTGGGCGGCTGGGACTGGTTCTTAGCCACTTGTGGCATCATATGCCCACCCCTTGCCTGGCTCTGGAAGGACGGAAAGTGGGGGAGAAACTGGAGGAGAAGGAGTCAGAGGAAGGCCGGAGGAGGAGGCAGAGGTGGATGGAGATGGAGGTGGAGGTGGAGCCGGCCTTGGCTGGACAGCAGAGCCAGTGCCTGGTCTCCAGGATGCACCCTGTGACAACGAAGAGCTCAAGGCCAGGCCTGAGGCCACCATCCAGGCCTGGACTCCCAGCAATTGTTGTCCTGAGAAGAAAAGGCCATTATGCTTTTGCACCAAAGCAAGTCTGATTTTAGAACCAAATTTGAGATGTTTAGGTAGGATTCATGTTGGCCCATGCTATGGCTGTGTCCCCTCCCCAAATTAAGGGGCAGACAATTCTGCCAGGATCAGAGGTCAAAGGAAAGGGAAGTGGCCGTATGAGCACACAGCTGGAAAGCTGGAGACACCCCAGGGTCCCCACAGTGGCTGGGAGGAACCCGGGTCGCCCCCAGGAGCTTCTGAGACCAGTTCATTAGGGGCACGTTGTGTCCCCTGAAGACCCCTGAAGGCCAAACCTAGCACTGTGCTTGGCCACAGGGGGTCTAAAGAAGTGATTAAGTTCAAATGGGTTATCAGGGTGGGCCCACCCCCTGCTGCACTCCTTCTAAGAAGAGTAAATCAGGACACAGCACACAGAGAGGGCCCACCCTGTGGGGACACTGGAGAGGGCCTCTGCAAGGAAGGACAAAGGGATCAGAACAAACCAGCCCTGAGGCACCTTGACCTGGCTTTCGGCCTCCAGGACCTGAGACAATGCATTCCCTGCCTATGTCCTTGTGTGAGCCACAGGGAGTTGGCACAGTACATAGAGGACAGGGTTATAAACCCGTGCCCCTGGGGGCTGAGCTCTACACAGGCAGGTCAGCACAAGGTCAGTGTGAGGTCAGTGCAAGTGTCTAGGAGCTGTGCCATCCCCTCAGCGTCACACTTGTGAAGGTCCTGTGAGTCCCCTGGGTGATCTGGAGCAGACAGAGGAAAAGTGGGTCATGTGCAAATACTGCGCTGTTGTACACCAGGGGCTGGGGCACCCCAGGACTTCAGTGTCCACAGGGCCTGGACCATCCCCAGAGAATGCTGAGGGTGACTGCCAGGGCCTGGACCAGGATGTGAGCTGGGGCACCTCTGTGGGGCTGTGGGCACCAGGACCAGGGCAGAGGTCACTTGCAGGCACAGGAAGGGGTCAGATCTGGCCGCGTGGCTGGGTACTGCCATTCAGCTAGAAAACGCTGAGGCAAGCCCAGTCTGGCAGCTACTCTGTGACCCAGGTGAGTTTCTGAACTCTCCAAATCTGTTTTCTCATCTATGAAATGGACGACTGTTCACACCCTTCCTTAGGACAGCTATTAGGTCAAGGTCAGCCTCCACAGGCTGGAGCAGCCACCTGTGTGCACTGGAGACTCTTCCACCCTTCATTGGACAGCTGGGACTGTAAGGGTAAAAGAAATTGAAGTTAAAGGGTAAAAGACCGGGTGTTGTAAAGTTTCTAAGCTGCAAGGTCTGAGTTAAAATGTAAAGGATTAGGTATTGTTAGGTTCCTATGCTACACGCAAAACCTGAAATTCCTGTAGCTGTTAAGACAATGCTTGGAACTGCCCAGTAAATATTTCCCCTGACTATTTGGTTGTTTAATAAAGGCTCTGTGTGGTCCCACATAGGCATTGCAGGGCCTGGACCAATCAGTTTAAATGTAACCCCCTCCTTAGGAATGACCTATCACTCCAGCCTGACCTGTTCCCGCCAATGAATGAACCAATCATGTTTAGGAGTTGTTGTTCAATTTTCCTGTGCCTCATGATGATTTGTTCTGATGTATACAAAGCCCTCCCCCCTCCCCAAAAAGTGTACTTAAGCAGTGCTCAGCCCCTGCTCGGGGCTCTGGCTGCTTTCCCTTCTTGAGTGGGCACGGAGCCCCAGCATGCTGGTTCAATAAATCCCCTTCTGCCAATTGCATGAGTGGTCACTTGGTGGTCCCTTTCTCCGACGTTTCGTGGGACCCTTACAGGACCACCCAGAAGAGCGCTCAAGCGAGTCTGGGTTCTCTCCTCCACCTGGCCTTAGGAGAGGGATGCAGCTGTCCAGGGAATCCAACAGAACGCCCGCCGTACAGTGTTCTGTGAAGAAAGCAAGCGGTGAGACCTGGACTTAAGAAAGATGATCAAGATGGATTTTTTTTATGTTCTTGGATGCAAACAATCATATGAAGAGATAAAAGAAGGGCTGGGATATGGCTCCAGGGTCTAGCACGCACAAGGCCCTGGGCTTGATCCCAGCAACACAAATTTTTTTAAAAAAGGGTAAGACAATAATTTTGTAGTAATCAGAAATTCAGGATATGTTTTTAAAAAGAAAGAAATTCAAAATATGGCTCCTGAAAAGAGCCGGAGGCCAAATAACAGCTTCTACAGAATGCTTTGCTCTCTTCTCAAATCCTGTCTGTCTGTGTTTTTGACGCCCTGTGAGGTAAGAGGAGCCAGTGCCGCCATCGTGTTGGAGGTGGGATTAGTGCAAGGGGGCAACGGGGTCCAGCAGCGTCAGGGTGGAGGCCAGGCGGGGAGGGCAGTGGCCGCTATAGAGAAGGAAACGGGAGCCTCCCCTGACTGCCGCGGAGCTGTCTGAACTGGACAAACCGGATGGAAGAAGCATTTCCTGGTGCTGGACAGGTGGGAGGGGAAGCAGGTGTCCTGAGCTTACCACAGTCTCTGAGGAAAGCAGTTTCCAAACCACAGTTAGAGGCCCGGACAGAGCCCCGAGGGCTCATGAATTCAAAGGGACAAAGAGGTCCGGGGGAGCAGGCAGCAGCTAGAAATTGCAGGACAGGGTGCCCAAGAGAAGGGCACTCCCAAGACAGAGGCCGGGAAGGGGCACAGCAGTCCCTCGACCTCTGGCTGAGACAGATCAGAGAGGTGACCCTGCAACAGGCCAGGCGGAGAGCAACACAGGCCTGTGAGGCCCAGAGAGCAGCGGTCCCCCGACCCACGCAGCGATGGTGGCACCCTCCTCCTGTCTTCGCAGCACGGGAGTGAGCTGCTCCTCTTTGAGCTCCTGGAGCATCGGTGGAGAACGACACTTACCAGGCCCCACCATGCAGGAGCCAGACGCTCCCGTGGCAGCAGAAGCCAGGTTTCAATCTGTGAGCTCCAGGGGGACATTCCCTGGGCCCCCAGCCCCTTCCTCTCCAATCGGCCACACCCCCTCACTGTGTGCCTGTCCTACGGACACACGCAGACCCTGCCGCAATGTGAGTGACCATGCCGTGCTTCTGAATGACCCCTGCCCCTGCCAGAGTCCACTCCAAGCAGAGTGTTGGTTCGTAGCCCCCACTCCCTAAGGTGGTCCCAGACAACAACAAAATCACCCCTGAGTGTAATTGCCTGTGATATTATTTCAGTAGTTGTTTTATTGTGGTGATAAAACTAATAAAGCCCAGTTATAACACACACCATGATGTTAATATATCAAGTAATTTGTCAAAGTTCATAACTTGGTGGCATTTATGTAAAACATTTATATCCCATTTTTAAAAGACAGTAAAATTCAATAGCTTCAGGGACTCTGTTTCACATGCTCTTAAAATCCAAATCGTAAAGAAATTGTTTTAAAATAAATCTATATTTTCAGCAGCTGTGTTCTGGATCACCTAGACAGGCACCACCGCGTGCAAACCCCTCCTTGGTGAAGGCACAGGGTCATGTGCAGGTGGAGGGCAAGGCCTGGTCGCCATGGCGGGCTCTGGTTATGCAGAGTGCGCGTGGGTGGGTAAGGCTATGAACATCCATTAAGAGCCAGCGTGGGGATCTTGTGCTGCCACCACCCCAGGGCTGAGCTGTGAGTGAGTAAGAAGAGCTCAGGTGTGCTAGGAGGGCTCCTCATGCCCTTTGGGTCCAGTAACAGCCTTGCTGACTTGGCGGCCACCTGTTCTGCATCCCGGCTACAGGTCAGAGTTAGCACCTATGGAAAATGACCTCTAACCCTCAGCCAAGCGAGCTCTCCCT